GACCTATTGTCGAAAAGCACGCTCGATATGCCCTGTACCATCCCTCGGCAGAGGCCATTTCGTCTATGCTTTGTGATCTGCCTTATAAAGTGGTTAATGCAATCATTTTCAACATTACACTCTACTTCATGACTAACCTGCGAAGAGAAGTCGGCCCCTTCTTCTTCTTCCTGCTCATCTCATTCGCCAGCGTCTTGGTCATGTCCATGATCTTCCGAACGATTGCATCCGCTTCCCGAACCCTCTTCCAGGCTCTGGTCCCCGCTGCCATCTTGATTCTCTCTCTGGTCATCTTCACTGGATTCGTCTTGCCAACCCGGTATATGCTAGGCTGGTGCCGCTGGATTGGCTATATTGATCCTCTGAGCTATGCGTTCGAGGCACTGGTTGTCAACGAGTTTCACAACCGTGAATTCGAATGCGTTGACTTCATTCCCTCCAAAAACTTCCCCGAATACTCGAACGTCAGCTCTGCCAACCAGGTTTGCAGCTCCGTCGGCGCGGTTTCTGGCCAACTCTTTGTCAGCGGTGACGCCTATGTTGGATCCGCTTTCCAATACGAGTGGAGTCATCGATGGAGAAACTTTGGTATTGTCATTGCCTTCATCATCTTCTTCCTCTTCACTTACATGGTTTCCGCCGAGCTTGTCTCTGAGAAGAAGTCCAAGGGAGAAGTTTTGATGTACCGCCGCGGTCACAAGCCCACGGCTGCTGTCCACGCCGAGAAGAAGGCTCAGGATCCCGAGGCTGCCATGGCCAACATTGGCCCTATTCTGACGTCTGAGCGAACAAAGGAAGGTATGCTCCAACGACAAACTTCCGTCTTCCAGTGGCATGATGTCTGTTACGAGGTCAAGATCAAGAGCGAAACACGCCGTATTCTGGACAATGTCGATGGTTGGGTTAAGCCTGGTACTCTGACTGCCTTGATGGGTGTTTCAGGTGCCGGAAAGACAACTCTTCTGGACTGCTTGGCTGATCGTACGTCTATGGGTGTCATCACTGGTGAAATGCTTGTTGATGGCAGGCCCCGTGACGCTTCTTTCCAACGCAAGACTGGTTATGTTCAACAGCAAGACTTGCATCTGCAAACCACCACTGTTCGCGAGGCCCTCAACTTTTCCGCTCTACTTCGACAGCCTGCCCACGTCCCTCGCGAAGAGAAGCTTGCCTATGTTGACGAAGTTATTAAGCTCCTGGATATGCAAGAGTACGCCGACGCCATCGTTGGTGTTCCTGGTGAAGGTCTCAACGTCGAGCAGCGTAAGCGTCTCACTATTGGTGTCGAGCTGGCTGCTAAGCCTCCTCTGTTGCTCTTCGTCGACGAACCCACTTCTGGTCTTGACTCTCAAACCTCATGGGCTATTCTGGACCTCCTCGAGAAGCTGACCAAGGCCGGCCAGGCTGTTCTTTGCACCATCCACCAGCCTTCTGCCATGCTCTTCCAACGCTTCGATCGTCTTCTCTTCTTGGCCAAGGGCGGCAAGACCGTCTACTTTGGTGACATTGGTGAAAACTCACACACACTGACAAGCTATTTCGAGAGAAATGGTGGTCACGCTTGCCCGCCTGAAGCCAACCCTGCTGAATGGATGCTTGAAGTCATTGGCGCCGCCCCGGGATCCCACACCGACGTCAACTGGTTCGAAACCTGGCGCGACAGCCCCGAGTACCAAGCCGTCCAAGCCGAACTCGACAACATCAAGCGAGAGAAGTCTGCAGAGGTCAGCGTAATCGAGGACGATCCTACCAAGTTCAATGAATTCGCCGCACCCTTCATGACCCAGATGAGGGAGAACTTGTTCCGTGTCTTCCAGCAGTACTGGCGATCTCCCATCTACATCTACTCCAAGGCTGCTCTTTGCACTCTGGTTGCGCTCTTCATTGGTTTCATCTTCTACAAGGCTCCAAACACTCAACAGGGTCTCCAGAACCAGATGTTTTCCATCTTCCAGCTCTTCACTATTTTCGGCCAGCTTATCCAGCAATCTATGCCCCAGTTTGTCATTCAGCGATCTCTCTACGAAGTTCGCGAACGACCCTCAAAGGTTTATTCATGGAAGGTTTTTATGCTCTCTCAGATCTTTGTCGAACTGCCTTGGAACAGCTTGATGGCCGTCATTATGTACTTCTGCTGGTACTACCCTGTCGGCTTGTATCGCAACGCCGAACCCACTGGTGAGCTTCATGAGCGCGGTGCTCTGATGTTCCTCTTCATCCTCAGCTTCCTCATCTTCAGTGGTACCTTTTCAACCTTTATTATTGCCGGCTTCGAAACCGCTGAGGCTGGTGCTAACATTGCCAACTTGATGTTTATGCTTTGCTTGATCTTCTGTGGTGTTCTTGCTACTTCATCCTCCCTGCCTCGCTTCTGGATTTTCATGGTAAGCTACCTCCACCTTTCATATAATAAAGAGTGTTTACTAACGCACATTGCAGTACCGAGTCTCACCATTCAGTTATCTGGTAAATGGAATGTTATCGGTTGGTGTTGCAAACACCGTGGTCAACTGTGCCGACAATGAGTTCGTCAGGATCCAGCCTCCTTCAGGTGAAACCTGTGGCAAGTACCTTGCCACCTTTGTCAACGCCACTGGAGGCAATCTCCTTAACCCTGACTCTACGACCGAGTGTGTCTATTGCTCTATCTCTGAGACCAACACTTACCTGGCTAGCATTGGCAGCCACTACTCTGAGCGATGGAGGAACTTTGGCCTGATTTGGGTGTACATTGTCTTCAACATTTTCGCTGCCTTGGGCGTCTACTGGCTGGCTCGCATGCCTAAGAAGTCGCTCAAGAAGACAAAGAAGGAGTAAAGCCTTCTTGAGAAAGGAAAAAAAAGACCTCATGACGCACTTTTACTCTCCCCTCCCTTTCCAAAACAAAAAAAGTTTTTCATCATCATATCTTATCTTACCTAAGTGGGGTTTAGACATTATACTCAGGGAGTTTTTATTTTGATTTGACATGCGTTGAAGAGGCAAAGAAGATGTTTGTTACGAAATGACTTGTACAAGAACAAGTCGTGTCATGTGTTGATGGGGAAATGCATTTCTCTTTTGATTATTTGGCATATTGCACATATATACCTGCTGATGCACTGGATTTTCTTTGGTTTTTTTATAGATGGCATTTAATCTCATGTCTAAAATGCGGCGGCCCGTGGATCTATAGTCATCCTTGAACGGTTTTAATAGATATACCTTCTTTAGAGAGCGCTTTGCATGAATTTGCTTGTGCTGCTACTACACTAATTTTTTCTATTTCTTTCGATGGTGATTCATTGGTGCTTGATGCTTGAATATGTGTGCTGGGACGTGGGAAGAATTTATGATGTTGGGTTCTAGGTTAGGATGAGATGAGAATAATATTTGATATGCTCAATGAAAATTAAACGGCTGCTAGCTGTCAATTTCTGACGTTGCCCTTTTATAGATTATCGCTAGCTATCAATTCTATCTTTGTCTACATGGCACGTTCTATGAATAGATGGAGATTGACAATCTCTTGTAACCGGCGGTAAATGGTCGAGTTTGCCCTATTGCAGCAATGTCTCGTAATTCGATGCCAATTTAGCTGCAAACTCTTTTAATATGTACTACCCTGCTTATGGTTTACCCTTTTACTGTCGCAGGATTTTGATTGTTAATCTCCTTGTAAACAAACGGATTTCTCGTAAAAGTGATGCTTCTTTTCTTGCTTTTTATTCATCCTAATTCAGTAATTGAGAATGAATATTTGGATATTCTGGTCGCTCATTGTTCTTTTTCATGGTATCATGCGCTTTTCTCAATTTGGAGGCAAGAGGTTCGATGGGGCAAGAATCCCAGTTCTGAAATTTAAATTCTCTTGGCTAGGGATTAAGGTGGTAAAACACTGACCAGTCCGTGACTTTTGTTTACATTCCTCTATTTCCCAAATATCATGAGTTTTGTGGAATTTTTTTTTGAAGGGGGGGGGGGTTTATCGTGCCAACTGTTCTTTCAGCTGCTGTCCGCGTTTGGAGTAGAACACGGTTGATGTAGATGGACGCGTATGCTGTATGCTGTATGAGCATTATTCATGGTGATTGCTCTTGATGAGTCTTTCTATCGGAACCAGCCTCTTATTCAGATGTTCCGGATTTGTTTAATTTGGATAAGGAGCTGAAGCGCTATACATCATTTTTGGAAATGTTTCTGTTATACCCGATACTTCTTTTGTTAAGCGAGAAGGCGTGGTGCTCATGGCTAAGATGTAGGAGCATTAGGTTAACAAGGTAAGATTTTTAAATTGAATACTGTCAAGAACCAAATGCTGCTTTCCAGCATTGTAGGAACATAAATTTACATAATCTTACCCCCCCAAAAGAGTTATTCATCAACCGCCCAAGCAGACATTCGCAGTGACCAAAACTCCTACGAGCATATCTCAAGTAAACAAACAAATACAAGGATGTTGCGCAGTAGACAAAAGTCTATCTCTCAATCAGGACCAAAGGATCTTAAAGCGGCACAAACCCGTCGCTATCGAAACCTTTTGACTCACAAGGTTTTTGCTAAGCGTCACCGCGTGATCGTCCAAGTGTGGGCATCAAAACCATGTGTTCAAAACCCCGCATCGGCATTGTTCCCTCGTGAGTGTTGCTAGACTGAATAAGGGACAGTCAGCGAGATGGACACGCGGGAATGTCTCGAATGGGGTGCTTTGTTGCGTGAAACAGCGGGCGGTAGTGGCGATGGTATACACAGTTGGAATGCGGCCAATTAGGGTGTGAGACTCTGTCGGATATCTCGCAGTAGCAGGCACCGCAGTCACCTTATCCTTCAACATTCAACTGGCATCGAACCAGCACTAGCTCTTCATGTGGTCATGGAACGTCAACAAATCTCAAGATACGCAATTGAAAGCGAGGCACTTCCCCATCCCGTAATAGCCTTGTGCGAACTCGGGAGAAAACCACGCGGAGCTTCTACTCCATCAGCAATGGTAGCGGTACCCACGCCGACGCATCGCAAATATGACAACTCCGTCGCAATATAGTGAGTGGTAGTACTTGGTAAGTGTCTTTTTGGGTTGCGCGGGCAAGGAGTGGAGGGTGGGTGGATAAGAGTGAGCCGGAAAGCTCGATCAATCGTCGATCGAGCTATTTAGGCGCTGGAATAGCTGCGACTACTGCTAGTCGGCCAAACATCGTCTTCTTGGGTAAGTGGTTAATGCACGACGGGAGTAGTTGTCTCAGATAGATGGGAGCCGCTGTAAAGTGATGTGTACACTTGTACTGCTTCTTACAGTACCAACTTGATCGCATGCGGTTGGCGGGCAGCACGAGCCGTACGATCATGAGATGACGGCTGTAGTAACAAAGCTCAGGAGTAGCGACGTGTTACTTGCGGCTAGATGGAGCCTCACGAGATGGCCTACCAAATCTTACCTACATGTAATATCAGCAGCCTAGCAAGACTTGTATGACGTATTGTCTCAATCTTTAGGGCCTTGATGAATACCAGGTAAAGATGACGCCCATCACCTGAGAAAGTGCTGATCGGTATCATCCGCTCGTATTCTCAGCCGCAAATAAGACAATGAAGCTTGCAAAAGTACAAACTAGACAGGCAAGAACTAGACCCCCTCGGATAAACACAATGCGCACCAAATTTGCTGGCAGGGCTGTGATACCTATTTCGAATGAGAGAATCTCAATCCCTCCGTCACAAGAGCCGGCGTGTCAGCTAACTGCTGCTGTATAATAACTGACCAGCATCCCCGGTCCCCACGGGCATCTTCTTTTGCAGGGCCAGCATTGAGGGCTCGGCCAACGTGGCTTTTTACCAGGTTAACCTTGTCAACGACCATTTCCACGGAATTGGCTCACGGGGTTTATGCCCTGACCTGGTCAATTTCTGGGCTGCCGTGCCGGACACTAGCTTTTTGATGGGCTCGGACGACTCATGGTCTTCGTTGCGTGGTGCAGAGACCTCTTTCGCTATATCTCTCCAGGTTTGTCTGTTGCGTTGCAGCAGGTTGTAAACCCTGCCGAGGTTGCTTTCTCATTTCTCCTAGCTGAGAATGAAGTTGATACGGATGAATCGTTTATGCCATCACGTTGCTTCTTCTCAGCTCCTAGCCCCTCGAGCTGTGTTTCGAGTTCTGGCGTGGCTGCCAGTGCTAATGGCCGCTAGATTTCAACAGCTTTCAACAGGCTGGCATTTGTTACTCGCACCCCCACCGTCGCTTTCCGCAGCCCCTGGATCAACTTGTCAGGGGGAGAGGGGATTCCAAATCAAGTTAAGCGCCAGGAACAGGCCTTTGATTGGTCCGTATCTTTATGGAGACTGTGCTGGACTTGACTTAGCTTCAGTCAGGGGTGTTTTTATATGGGACCGCGTAAAGTTGAGAACAAGCTGTGTCTGCGAGGAGTTGCTTTGCGTTGGTTGAAAAATTTCTCTCGTGTCGAATTTTGGCTTTTTGCGCGTACTGTTTTAAGTGCTTCTAATTGATTAGAATTGGCATTTGCTTATTTTTGTATCTGCGCAGGATTGTGTGCGAAAGCTTCTGGAGTGATGGTGTGTTTAATACCTAGTTCGACGTTGTTAAACCCTCCAAGTAGTTGTAAGTACTGTGGTTACCAAAACTGACGAGGAGTGATCAACTGCCAAGTGAAGGGGAGAGCCTTGGCGGTAAGATTATCTGTTTTGAATCGAAGATCTGATTACCAACTCACGTATGGTGAACATCGTCATCTCGCCTCGCTTTCATTAAACCTCTTGTGTTGGCAAGGTAATTCGTCACACTGGCTGTTTATAATCGTCATGTGTGATGCAGTTGCTTTTTGACATCACAAACACTCCAAGCTGCGGGTAGATAAAGCATGTTTGTGGGGGAGATTTGCCTCGGCCCAGACCTGGGCATTTTTGGTCCTGGCTGCGGCTCGCATGGGCCTGTTCGGGACGCTTAAGATTATCCGAGCCATCTGCCACAGCCCTGAGCTCGCAATAGGAGAAGATTCGACAGCTAATCTTATGGGGTTCGGAGCCCTCCGTTTCTGTGCCCGGCCGTTGAGCAGATGATCTCGTGACCCATGCACGAAGCCGTGTATTCGTGTTCTGTGCAGGGCATCCTCTGCGCCGGGTGCGGGATATGAGAACCGAGCGCCAAGGACCATTCCGCCGTGCACCCCCGGTAACGGCGTTGGTCAAAATAGAATCGGCATTTGGTGGTCGAGCACTAGTGAGTGCAAGCCATACGGGCCCTCCTAGGTAGCGTAGCATACCGTGCCTTGTCGTCTTGAATAGGTACGAGTAGCTTCATCTGGAGGCCTTGGAGGCTTGCATAGCAGAAGGACCATACAAGTAGATGTGGTAGCACCCAATACCGCTAGCAGTTTGAGCTTATTGTATGTGCCTACCAGTAGATCTCTGCGCCGCGTTCTGGTGGCTTGTGCTAGTACAAGCAGGTGCTCTCACCCCACCCTAATGTCATACATCAGACCATGCTCGCATCCAGTAATTTGCCTTTCTCCAGGATATCTCCAGTTGTCGCGTATGCAAGGGAGATGGCGCAGGGACACAGGCCGTGATCTTTCGTGCTACTATATAGTTGATAGGCTCGACTTGACTTCTGATATCTTTTGATAGCGGTAGTTGTGGCGAGAATCCTCCCCAGCACAGCCACAAAATAGACAGCGCGATGAACGAATGAGCGGGTCGAACTGATCGTCGCTTCGTTAATCTTGAACATCAAAAACGAAAACTGCCAGTGCGGTTGGTGGGCCAGCAGAGGAGTAATAAAACAAGAAAAGAAGAATATGGAAAAAACGCCACTCCCAAGGTCGTACACTCCAACCTCATTTCGACTATGAAAGTATTACAGAGTAGTATCACGTATCGTTCCGAGCAGGGTAGTATTGCGAAGAGTACTATTGTGATACGCACCGAACAAGGAGTTGTTCGTCCAATATTCCTCACACGTGCTTCACGTTAAGCCGTTGACTAGCATCGTAGCCAGCATCTTTTGCGACTTTGTTGATCAAAGGTTATTTGGCGGGAGGGCATGAGCGTACAAGCAGCGCTCATCAGCTTGTGATGATGATGGGAGACGGCCAATCTCTTTGCCATCCGGGAGTTTTCACAAGCGAAAAGTCGCGACGCTTTCTTTGCACAGCTCTTTTCACCGCTGCCAGCCCCGACGGTCCCGAGGCGCCGCCATCGCTTGGTATTCGGCTGTTTCGGACGTCCAACGAACAGAGGATCTCTCATCTGAGTACCTGCATGCGCGATGTAGCTCCGATGCATGTGGGTGCCAAATCCTTGGCCCAATAAGTGGAGATGCTGGGCGGTAAACGATAGTACTGTAGCAGTAGCACGAACTTTGTCGCGAGAATTGGACAAGATGGGATGGATGCCCGCTGCTGGCAGCTGTAAACAGCATGCAGTCATGAAGTCTAAGTCCATGAATGGGTCAAAGACTCTAGTAGACCGCCCGCAACTGGAAACTGCAGTAGTACAGTATGCGACACGGCCATACAAGGCAATGCGTCTAGACTGCAGTTTCGTCTACCTGTGGCCGGGTCAGCATTGCATTTGCGACCTGTCAATAATACGCCGGTCACCGGCGGGCTTTGCGGTGGAGGAGAATGAGGATGAGAGAGCCGCTCTATCAATTGACGTTAGCCGCTCGCTGCCATTTCCCTTTCGCTGTGGATAGGGCGAATGCTGTCGCTCAATTCTCCCGTACTTGTGCGTGCCTCCTTGCGTTGTCCGCGCACCAATGAGCTGCTGAGGGCGACAAGATGGGTTATTGCGTTGCCAGATGAAGCAAATGATGTACAAAGGAGCACTTGTGGCGCGCAGATGCTGGCCACAGACGGATCGTTCCCCGAGCAGACGTCTTTATACTCGCGGCGAGCCTCCTGCCATGTTGGGTGGCCGATGCTGCGGTGCTGCACGCTCGAATCGCGATGGCTGTGACGAATATCGCTTGCATGCATGCTGTGGAACGGGCGCATCACCAAACCTACCAGAACCATGTCGTGTGGGAGCAGGTCGGAGCACTAGCGGGTGGTGGTTTAGGCTATGTGGTTCGACTGCAGTAGTATAGACAATATCAACATTGGCATCGGGACCAGCATCACAATTCTCTTTGGGATCCGGCGCAGACAATAATGCAACCCGGTGTTCTTTGCTTGCTGGCGTTGCACTGCCGCTGGTGTTAGGCTGAGAGATTGGCAATATCAACACCACGAGCGAGAGCGTGAAGGAGTAATGAAGGACCAGCCGTGCCGCGAGCACAGAAGGCTAGCGCCAGGCCACTTTCTGCCCCAAGACATTACCGGACGCCACAGCGATAATACTTACTATACTACTAGTAGTGCGTAACCCAAAGTCCCTGGCAGCTTAATCTCAGAGCTCATCTGCTGCTGATCTCGTCGACTGCAAGGGCGACAGCCAAAAAAGGGCTGAGTCAACAGGTTTCACGCCCAATCCATGTCGACAAATCAGGGGAACGCCCGCCCTCCCAGACACAGCGGAAGAAGCCTCCAGTGCCGCTGTCGCGCCGTCTTAGAGCAGCGTAGGCAAGGGGTCGGGCTCTGTGGTGGAGCTGACCTGAAGCCATCAGAGAGCTGTCTGCCATCTCAAACTGCCCGTTGATGCGGAACGAGAAGAAAAGTTTAGTTGCCCCCTGTCGCCCACCATGTCCAGCGGCTTGAGCCCAGACCCCCCTGCCGTGGCTGCATGCCGCTGTACCTGCGCTGCAGTGCTATTAGGGCGCTAGGCAGTGGCTAGCGGCCCAGGCACGACCGCTATCACTGCTGCGCTATCCCCATGTTCAGCTGCCGCTGCGCTGCGCTGCACTACCTCGCTCTCCGTGTTTTTTTCCTGCCCATATTATCCACGCCCCTTCTTCTCATCGCCGTCCAGAATCCCAATTTCTGCCCTTGCCGTGGTCTTCTCTCCACTCTTTTTTTTCTCTTCTCCTCTTCATCCGCTCACTATTCCGGCGTTGCCTCAAGACCAGCTCTCTGCCCGCTTTTGTTTTTTCTTGTCGTTTCCCCTTGCAAGCGAGATCTCATCCCTCACGCTCCTTTCGATCTCCGTACCTGCAGTCGACAAACGAACGCATTTGCCGACTTCTGCCGTTTCGAAGCATGCTCTCTTTCGCCATTCCATCGTGATACCCGACACTCCTTTACCCAATTACTGGTCTCGAGCTTTGCAAACCTTCTCCTCCTTGAGGTGACAAGGCTGAGTTGTCGCTGTCCATTGACAACTATCGCGCGATTACGATATCAATACTTTGACGCCTTCCGTTGCGAGCCCGTTCCACCAGTACTCATCGAGAGTCACGCCAAGACAACTTGATAACTCTTAGCATCAATAGCCACCACTTATTGATCAGCTGCATTTCGCTCTTCCCAAACGAACTTCTATTTTTCACATACACACATACGCTCGTTCTCTCTGTTCTGAAGCATAGTCTTTGGGAGAATCTAGCAAGTCTGGTCTCGTGTTAATCGTTTATCATCTGGTACGTCAAAACAACTTTTTACTAAGAAATTTGGGACTCTCAGAGATTTCAAACTCCAATGTATGATGATAAGAGAGAGAAAGAATGATGAAGGAGGGAGAGAAAAGGAGGGGGGGGGGGAGCTTCATTCGCATAGAGGCAATGCTGTAACTATAATAGTTCGGTTGGTAATGCTTGTCTATTTCGGCCTATCCCCGAGTCTCAGCATTGCCATCTTTGGTTGCACACACACATATATGATACATCTTGGCTGGCCATACGCTTGATACTAACGTCGTGATAGTCTGTTTTCGCAAACGGTATCTCGCCAGAGATATTGGGCGAATGAATGACACGATATCCGACGCTCCCGGCTTAACTATCTCGATTCGATACTTTACCTGTTCTCGTGCGCCTTACGCGGTTTACACAAGATGAATGTCTTCCGAAACAAGAAGAAGGGGAAGGATGAGGCGGAGAGCGTTCGGCCGTCCATGGAATCAGATTCCGCGGGCCCATTTCGAATGTTTGGCAAGAAGAAAGGCCAGGTCGAAGAAAAGACACTTGAACTCGACCTGAGCACCGCCTTGCCTTCTACTAATGACTTTAGAACCAGCTTGCTCATGACAGGCCTGTCAGCTCGCTTTTCCATGCTTCGAGAGCAAGATGACCCCACAACTAAGCTAGGCAAAGCAAGTGACGATAGCGTTCTCTTCCCCAAGGGAATGTCAAAGATGACAGACTTCGGTCTTGGAGGTCTTCAGGACATAGCAGAGGTGGAATCGATAAGGACACCTTCCATCTCGCGCCTAGATGGCTTCAACTTGGATGATGCTAGCTCCATAAACGGAAGCGTCATGAACCGCGCGAAACCTGTTGATGGAAACAACCTATTTGGCGGTCGACAGAAAGTCTATAGGCTGCCGGCGAATAGTGCTGGTGCCGGCAAGGATGGTAACATGTCGTCTAGAACGATTTACGACGATGACGTTGGAATGTCGGCCTTCCAGAAATGGCGGTTGGCGGAAAAGGAAAGACAGGCTTCCGAAGGGGGCGAGCCTGATAACATGGTTGATTTCGAGCCTCAGTCAGAGCTTGCGCTGGAATCGCTGCAGGAGACCCAGCAGGAATCTGAGCAGGAATCTCAGCTTGAATCTCAGTCAGAGTTTCAATCCGATGCCAGTCGCCGACGGGAGACGAGCTCAACACTTTCATCGGTCGCAGCCCGTCTCTCCGCCGCAACATCAGTCACATCCCAGGGAGCCCCCTCTGTTAAAGATTCTCAGCTTACGCCATCAACTTCTTCTTCTTCCGCAGAGCGAAGTGTTTTAAGGACAAGACGTCTATATGAGCAAGGTTTGAGCCGCGAGCTTCATGAGCAGCAGTCGTCGGCCATGTCCAGGATGGATAATCTGTCCAAAGGACGGCCATTTGCATCTGCAACACCAGATGTGGCTTCTCCAATCGCCGGTGCATTTGGCGATCGTATTCTGGAGCGTCGACCGAATCTATTGGCAAAGGCTAGTGCCCCGAACCTGCGGTCTTTCAGCCCTTCCATCACTGGCTCTGCATCACCTTCTCCCGCTGAGCCCAGCCCCAGATTTCCAAGTGCAGCTTCTCCCAAGCCAAACTTTGCAGTACCACCCATCAGCCCTCCCATTAGCGAAACTGAGGACCACCCACTGCTTGCTATTCAGCCCAACGACAGAGGCAAAGCCACGGCGATGGGTGTTTTTGATAGGCCCGCTGAGAGATATGACGAATCCACTTATGCTCAACGACAGCTGCAGCTACAACAAGGACGAGAAACGCCGGTAAAGAACCACCGCTCTATGGAATCCAGCCTCTCCGCTACATCGGATGACAAACTGCAAGCCCCGTCAGTGGTGACAAATCAATCACTGGAGGGAACAGAATCTGCCGGAGCCAAGATTGTTTCCGAAGAGCCTCCGTCCTTCTTTGACGACAGTGACGAAGAAGATTCTTCCATGCTCAGTGGATTGATAAACTCTACCAACCCTCCCCGGGTTTCTATTGAGAGACCTAATGATGGCGACCATCCGGCTTTTAAGAATAGTGCCGTCCCCGCCCCTCTGTCACTCCCTCCCAGATCACCTGGGGGTCTTTCGTCGGCCTCTAGTCCTGTCACTTTGCCCCCACAAGACTCTCCCACATTGGGTCCAAATAGTGGCTTGAGCGGAATGGTACGAGCCCATCTACGAAGCGATAGCAATGCCTCTTCGATCTATGGCGTGTTGGGTCAAGACGCAGAGCCGAGCAATGTACAGGGCAACACGCAGAGCAGCATCCAAAGCAACGCTCTGAAAAGCCCTGGCTTTGATAACAGCTTCAGCTCTGCAAAGCAGACCGCCAACGTGCGGCCTATGATGTCTCGCTCTCCTTCTCGCCCTAGGGTGCCAATTGATGAGGCAGGAAGAGAAGAAGATGAGTTTGCACGTCATCTTGCAGATGGAGCTCGCCGTGTTCGCGAGAAGCTGGGCTCCATGGCCATGGTCGAGGCTGAAATGGAAAGATCTTCCCCGAGTGCGAAGCCATCTTTGGAGAATCTCAGAGACGCCAATGCCCCGCGCACAAATGCATTGGGAATCTTGAAATCAAAGTCTAGCCACACTTCACTCTTTGACCGCCACGCTCGTGATCAGAGTCAGCCCAGAGCCATGAAGGCCGTCATGTCTTCGGCCTCAAATGGCGCATCATCGCCATCTCGCCGAGGATCCACGGAGAATCCGGAGGATTCGCGCAGAGGTCGATCGACACAAGCCCGAGAACGCCTTTCGGAAGACGCAGCTGCAACCGACAAAGAAGACGGTGTCCACGTTGGCCTGAAGGCCTTCCGCCAAGCACGCATAGAGCTTCAGAAGATGAAGGACTTGGAATCAGTACAGCGACCCCCTGAAAGACCTTCAATGGGTTCTCGCGTAGGGTCTTATGACGTCGGCGGCCCACCACCAGCCATGTTTAACAGAAAGGCGCGTGATGAGTCCAGACACGGCAGCGGTTCGCGCGCAGCGTCCCGAGCAGGCTCGCGAGCCCCTTCAGAGCGAGAGAGAAGCGGATCGGAAACGAGCAATGCTGGCCCGCCACCACTTCGACAAATGCGGCTACGTAATGGATCGAACGCATACGACGATCAATATACGCCGGCCAGTCCACCTGGCAGTGCTAGAAGCGCCTCTGCCATGAGACATGGCCCTCCGAGCGCTCGACGTCCCTACGAAGCTGGACAGCCCTCCCCGATGGGACAGCCTTCCCCGATGGCCTCTCCGATCAGCATGGGTACGAGATCCAGAACCGGCAGCTTGCTGGGGGCAACAGCATCCACGCCTAACCTGCTATCCAATGCACCCGCCCCCCCACTGCCACCAATCAACCCTCGGCGCAAAACCTTTGGTCGAGCCAGCGAGGATGACATGTCAGCATCGCGGAGTGCCGGAGGCTTTCCAACCCACGATGAGTCTGATGACGATACTCTGGCCCAGCGCCGCCAAAAACTCCGCAAGGCTACAAGCGAAGGCACTAGCTTGAGAGCTCGTAACAACCCTCCAAGCAACGGTACGAGACCACCGCCTATGCCTCAAGGAACTATGCCCGGCGGCAGATTTCTTCCAGGTGGCGTCATCTAAAGCCTTTTTTCGCTTGCTTGAAGGATGAGTGCGCTGCAGTTTCATTACTGTTTGTCTTACCAGTTCCGGTCTCCTATTTAGCCTACCACGGCAGAGGAGTAAAAGACGACAAAGATACTTCCACCACTGTATTGACTTGTAATATTACGACGGCTGCTCAATGCTTGAGACGGCATGGGCCATTTCTAGTTTGTTTCTGATTCTCTTTTGATATTTTGCCTTCTTCTTCCTCTTCCTTTACACTCTATGTTTACCTGATATGGAGGGTGTAAATTTCCGAGTGTTGTTTTCTTTTCTTTTCACTTCTTTTACTTTTACTCCTTTTATTCCTCATATTCCTCATATTTCTTTATTTGTTTGTTTGTAGAGAAGCGGTTTACTGTATTAGGCGGGACTTGAAATCATCGTCATGGCGTCGGAATTTGCTCTTACAAAACGAGACTACTAGTCAAGAGTACACTGGCACATGGCAAACCACATTGGGAAAGGAAATGTTACGGGTGGGGTACAGGAAGTGCAACGCATGTGTGATGGGTGCGGAGAAAACACTACTACATAGGTAGTTGATGTTTAGGTAGCTGATGGCTATTGTCTGCGAAGCAGGCAAATTGAAATGATACAGAGCATAATTCAAAGGCTGGTGCCTATTCTCCCTGTTTAGCCGTGCTGTCTACTTTTTGCATTAGAAGCTGTCTCTGTGTGAAGTTCGGAGTTATACTGCGGCACTACTGCTCATCCTATTACTCCGGATACCGGTGCTTATCGGGGTTCACAGCGAAGACGAAGCTCATCTAAAACTACTGTATTCCATCTTTTTCAGTGAATAGATTGATGGGTCGGGGAAATACCCACAAAGGCACGGGGGCTCTTTGGGAATCGGGGCTGTGGATATAGGTTCCCCGAGCTGAAGGAGGGAAAAAAGAGGCTTGAGCTACGTTACTTCGGGTACGGGCTGTGTTTTAGTGTCAAGCTCGGGGAAAGACAGTCTCTCGGTCTGTAGCATCTCCTCTTTTTTTTAACCCCCCACGTAAGTTTGTACGACTTGATTGTTGATATTTATTCTCTATTTATCTTTCAAACCCATTATATCTGTATTTTATTTCCATATATATATATATATATATATATATATATATAAACGCTCGTCGTTTTGTGCTGTCGATAAAGACTTTCTTTCAGAGCGTAAATTCATATTCCTGGGGTGCGTCGTCTCTCTTCATGTTGAATTTGCTTATTTACACATGATGCGGGGTTGATGGTCTGAGACTGCCAGAATGCGCTGCTTGCATGAGAGAAACCGAGCTGACGACCTGTAAGATAGAGATTGCTGTAGGAGTCGCCAACTGGAGTCAATCCTAGTCATGGCGTTTATTCGGCCGTATAAGCCCTCTGACTTTGAGGGCATGTCTCACATTGTAAGTTTGGAACCGGCCGATCTTGTTTCGTCTCATCTCATCTTATGCGTCGTTGCATCACCATCACCCCCCAAAATCTAGCCGCATCTTGCTGTCGTTAACCATCTCTCAATGGCAGTGCCGTGAAACCCTCAATCCCGCCCTTTTACCGTCCATACCCGGCCGCCGCCTGGCCCCGTACGTCTGGACTCACCAATACACGCACCTCTCTCCTGCGACGTGCTTCGTGGTCGACGACGGCTCCGGCCGGCCTGTGGGCTACTGCATCGGATGTCCCGACATCGCCGCATTTGTGGCCGCGTACGACTCTTACACCACGCAGGTACTCGATCCCTCGCCCGAGGTGACGCGCCCAGACGACTTGGAGCTGAAGGAGCCGCTGTTTCTGCCGGACGGGAGCGTCAACGCGGTGGTTTTGTCGCGGCTGGCGTATAATCCGCATCTGTTGCTGGTGGATGGCAATGCTGATCTGTTGGCGGAGTACAAGGCGACGATGCACATCGATCTGCTGGATGAGTATCAGGGCCAGGGATGGGGCAAGCAGCTCATCTCTCGGTTCGTGGAGAGTATCAGGGACGTTCCGCAGCGGGATGGCGGCGTGAGTAAGGGCATCTGGATCGGCGTGGCGGGGGATAATGGCAAGGTGGTGCCGTTTTATGAGAAGCAGGGCTTTAAGATTAAGCAGAGGCCTGTGGAGAGTAAGACGTATTTTATGGTGAGGGAGTTTTGAGATGAATTATCTTGAGACAAGGAAGAAAAGCTGGATAGAAGAATCTTTTTTGTAATAGAGCTGTTAGAATGAAGAATGAAGAATCTGATGCGTACTGTGATGTGTCTGGACGGATAAAGGCGACTTGTTTATTGGGTTTTGAATGTTTTTTATTGACTTTTTTCTCTTGTTTTTGAGGTATTTCTTTAACTATTTCATCCTGCTCCCAGTAAATCGAAAATAAAATCGCAAGCTAGTAACACACATAGAGAAGAGAGATGGAGAAGATCGTCATGACGATAATTCCGTAGCCAAAAATTCCCAGTAGCCCCCAAAGAAGAAGTGAAGAGGATAAAAAAAGTGTTTCGTTAGAAAAAGGGTATCGCAAAGGAGCTCTGCTCCAGAAGAGAAGTAGAATGGGAAAGAAGAAAAAATGTCGTATAGAAGAGAAGAGGCTCTTTGGTGAATATTTGACGCCTGCTGAACCGGAATTTCATAACCTGTCGTGTTTGAAGTGGTGATGCTGTTCAAGCGGTATTAGCTCAACCCTTCCAGCGCAAGGGATTTTTTTATAAATGACAAACCTCGTCTAGACGATGCGTTTAGGCCGTGATACAGGCATTTAGCACATGGGGCAGTGAGAGCACTGCTTGTGGCCGCATCCAGTGCAGGTGGTGCTGATGACAATCATGCCACCGCATTTGCAACAGTACTCGTAGGCAGGCATGTTTGTTTGGTTGGTGAAAGTGAGGAAGATTGTATCTTGATATTCAAATCTTGATTGAGAGTATATTTCTAGCGAGAGATTGTGTTCAAGATGAAGTGAGTATGAAAGAAAGAAGCAGAGGAGAATGGGGAAGAGGAAGAGGAAGAAGGCTTATTATAGTTTCAGAACAGCACTGGTGTCTGAGCCATGGTGGGATGAGAGAGACTAAGAGGCGTGACAGATGAAAAAAGGCAGCCCTCTTTTCCCTTTAGGCGTGAACTTAATAAAGCCAAGGTTACAGCCAGGTCTACATCAAACTTACTATAAATACAAATAAGCTTGGTTCTCGTTGGTACGAGATCCTGTTCCGGCTTAGCCACGTACATGCCCATATCCATCTACATCATGTACAACTTCAAGTACTACCAAGGCAGGCAACATTCAGGGATTCGCGGAACGGCTGGATATTTGCCAAGCTACATAGCCGAAGAGAGGGGAAGAGACGAAGGAGTGCTTGCTTGATTTCGCAGCCTTTCGGAGCCATGATTGGCAGCCCCAAGACTAGAAGGTGCTTGAAACAGACAGGCCGAGACAGCAGCGACTTATCGCCAGTTCTGATGACGCATTTCCGTCTGTCATGAGCCGCCTCAGCACAATTGGCGGGTGGGATTGGCCAGCTGCGCCGCCTTTGATAGAAGCTGCGTGGTAGCGCGTGTGGCGTCCACACCGGCGCAGGGATGGGGGCTCTACAGCGCTCCTCAGTCGCTGCTCAGGCTCCATGGATCTGCTTCAGGGAACGGGGTACGCTGCGGCGATGGGGACCCGCGGGGCGCATCTTGCAGCGAGCGACGACCCTGAAGGCGCCAAGAGGGGCTCGGTTTGTTTTGGATTTTTCAGTCTTTTCGGGTGCTGATTCTGGGAAAATGCATCCAGGTCCCCTTTGCTAGTACTTTGCATGTACTTGACGCTTCATCTCTGTTTTTGCCTTTGGTGGCTAAAGAGAGGTTGGAAACGGGCGTGCACGTGCTGCTTTCCAAGCTTTGGAGGATAATCAGCATTACTCTCCCTCACACACGCCTCATCGCCTCACACAGTCGCGCAGCTTTCCGACAACTCCCGAATCTCAGGAGGAAACAGGGAATCGCCATCACGAGAGAACTGGGTCGTACGTGGCATGCTTTCACTCTCCAGTCTCCTCCTCATCGCATGACTTTTTGCTCTTTTCGAGCCAGCAGACGAAAAAAAAAAGTCTGGACCCGATTCCGGAGGAAACTGCTCACATCTCAAAAAAACAGGACAATCCCCCACGCGCTCACAGCGGCCTAAACACGGCAGCGATGAATTCGAGTAAGCAAAGAGACATCCAGTGGCTGAATAGTCAGAGTTTAGGGCTCGATTTCATTGTGCTAGCGCTGTGACGGGCGACCCAAATCTCCAAAACGTGCGGGGAAGCTGTGCATGCAGCCTGAAGGGTGGCGGCAGGGATTTTGCTTGGAAGATAGCTGCTGGTATTATCAAAATGCTGGTGTCAAGCTGCTCTGCCGCTGCCTAATAATGGTAGTTGGACGAGCTAACGACTAATACGACTTGGTAATGCATCTTCATTTCGCCCTGTCATATAAATTGAGCCGCGTCTCTTTCCCGTCCTACCCGGCTGATTCCCTTTCTCAGGCATCGACATGCGAGTTGTCACTCCGCACGAGAAGAGGCATACGGTGTCACGGCTGTCGAGGCGGCCAAGCGGCAATCAAACAATATGCCATGGTAAAGGGAAGCGATCGACGATGCCACGGCCAGCCAACCAACTGCGAACATCCACGACCAAGCTAGAGTGCCACTCATTCCTTGGGCCAAAGCCTCTTCACGAGCCAAAAGGGCTGTGGTTGTGGCAACTGGCTCAGCCCGCAAGCAGTCGAAATTACTCGGAAGAGTGTGCATGCATCCTGCAGTGCGTAGGCCGTCGAGCCATTCCTGGAAACCAGCGGGGCTTGATCCGGGGAAGCGGCTCTAGGGTCCTTTAGCTACGTCACTGCAAGCCTCCTGATCTGGGCTGTGAGACTGCGCCAGTCAGAATCTCGCCTCGTTGGCTTCGCAGCCTCCAAAGCCGGGGAGATCGTCAACAGCCATCAACACTTGCCTACAGTACTTGAGTACACGCTGCCTAGGTGGCAAGTCACGAGGCCTTTGTATGCCACAAGTACCGTTTGCAACATGGCTCCGTGATCCGGGTACTCGGACGATACGTAATAGGGCATAGGCACGGACGGCGGGCTCCCAACCAAGTTGCATCTGAACTGCCGTGGTGCGTGGTCGCGAGCTGCTTGATGAGTGGTGGGTTAATGCCCAAAGCGAAGCAGAGTGCACGGAGTTAGGATGTAAGTTCTCTGACGGGACTGACCATGAAAGCAGTTGTTCCTACTCTAGCCGAGGCTGCCCAAGATTATCTCAGTTGTCGAATTTCTCCCGCCTCTTTCCACCATCGAGTCAGCAATGCCCAGCGACATCTTCTGGGTGAACAAGCAACCGATCTGCCCGTGATTCGCCGCTGCAAGTCCCATCATCCCGCGTGGGCGAGCTCACTCGCGCTCCAATGTTACGCTGAACCCCTCTTTGGAGAATTGGACATGTCTATGTGCGGGCAACAGCAGGCCGAATACGAACTATCACCAAAGAGAGCGTGCCACGCCTCTATAAACGGCATGTACAGACTCGGAGAGGCAAAATAATCTCGAGTATCGTGTTGCTTCTTTTCTTTTCGCTGTTAATTGCTTGTGTGTAGGTAGTGCGCTGTGGCGGCTCTCTCCTGAATTGGCTTACAAAAGCTTTACTAGGTATTTGATTCTCGTGACAGTACGGCGGTCAAATCAGAACCACGCCGCTGCAAGTGACCGTATAACTTTATTGCCATGCCGCGCTACATGCGGTATCATTGAATGGTAGGAATAGAACAACTACTTTCGTAATAGAGCTTCTCGTCTAGTAGACTTTGAGACCAACTTCATTGTCACCTAGAACAGCCCTCATTGCCAGAGATGCTGCATATGGCTTGCCGTCGAATTCGGCAAGCAATCTTTAATGATGACTTTTATCCATCAAACCCCACCTATTCATACTTTGTTCCGAGAAGACAACAGTGAGGGCTTGGCATCTAGCAGTATTGCACATGCGACGACTGTATTTCAGTAAATGGATATATTATATATGGATATGTACCATTGTCCTAGATGCAATAAAAGAATTCGCAGCTGGCAACTACTTTAAGAAACATGAATATTCTAGAGTCTATTACTTTCCTGTATTACTTCATACCAACTTCCGCCGCTACCGACACTATCATTCTTCAAGTCTTCACAAATGTAACCGACATGGTATGACTTTGTTCATAATCTTTTTCAGTTTTCCTACATCCACTCCATGCAACGTTCGCACGTTAATCGGACAGCGTGCTCTGCCTCTCCTGTAGGCTTGGACATCCTGCTCAGTCAATTGCAGTATCTCCTCTTCAGAGAGTTCATTCCTGAAACTTGACATGTTGACACCGCAGGTGTGACAGAACACTTTACTCGTCAGGCCATCGGTGAGTACGTAGCGGCCTATGGCATCTTCAGATCCGGAGAGGACGACGTTTTCGAAGTTGGGAGAAATCCAGACGCAGGCATTCTGTTGGGGGTATTAGAATGAACAAGCCTATTAAGAATAACAAAATAGATGGACAGAATGGGTACTTACACGCTGACAAATGTCACAGCTACATTCCGCTATTCTCTCTTCGCCAGACTCTAGAGGCTTACACGAAACAGCAACGGTCACGGCACCGCAATGGCAGCTTCCAGTGTAAAGTTGGCCGCCTTCAATGCTAGAAGGTACGTCCCCTTTGTGAGTTGGAGGGGCATATTGCGGATCGAGCTTGGAATTGAAGATGCTGTAACAAAATAATCGTCAGTCTCATGAAGTGTAACATCTTCCGCCTTGATGACAGGTTTATTTTCTGCTTACTTTCTTCTTCCTATTCGATTGATGTCGATGCCTTGTATGGCGCGTACCTATTCATTTTTGATGTTTTGTGAGAATTTGGAATCCTATGCAAGGTAGATGGGTTTCACAACTCACATTCAACAGCAACTGTAAATGCGGAGGGCCGTTGGGCATCCTCGAAAGCATACTGGTGGCACAATTAGGGCAAAACTATCAGGTAATCTGTGTCAGTAGTCATCACAAGGCGATATGTTTGGGTTGAACGTTGTATATTGATAGCGTTCGTGGGCTGCCTACCTTGTGGATCTTGTTCCCCGGACCAAACGTGTAAGACGTGAGGCTCTCTTCGCTACCCTTGACAACTCTAAAGTTGTCCTCTTTGCTCGTCAGAAAATAGAGATTGCCTTTACGGCTACAGAAGCTGCAGTCACAATCTACAACAGTCTTGAGTTCCGTGAGATCTATTTCGTAAGCAAAGGCGCCGCAGTGGCAGCTGCCCTTGTATGTGCGCCGAATAGGCTGGTCTTGAACTTGGGCCATGGTGAAGGGAATTAAGCAAACATAAAGAATGATAAAATGACGCTGTTTTACTAACGGATTTCGAAGAAAAGGGGATAAACGAAATAAAAAGGAAAGAGATATATAAGCTGAGAGATGCGTTTTGAGTCTGACAGCTTACCAAAATCTTGTTCGCAGCCGACTCTAGTTCAGAGTATATGTGTATTCTCTCTAGTTGTGCTAGTCACGTTGCTTCTTGACAATTGTCTGTTTATCTTAATTGTGCATTCAGTTGAGTGAAAGATGTTCAAGGTCAAGATATCTTGTCCCCAACAAAGCACGTTGAATATACCGAGGGCTGGTGTTGAGGCTGCTCTCTCCTGACTAAAGCCCGGAAGAAGCTGAGTGGGGGCTTGATGCCAGAAATGTTGAAGTGGAGTCACAAGCTTGGAATCGGGCATTATTCCCAGCAATGCCCGTACAGTATGATGCTCTGACAACTAAGATGCAAATCTTGCATTCGGCTCATGCAAGTTTGAAGATGGACCATATCACACGGACATATCTGGTACTCTTTCCCATCTACTGCTTCGTCAAAAACATCGGCCAAAGGTGACCGGAAGAGTATTTTCTGAATGGACGCGATTTCTCACTAGAGTACAAGGGGTTAGCGACATTTTGTGGTTCATTCTGTGTTCACTAATCGTTACAAATAGACTTGTTGAGGCGAAGTAGGATTATGGATGTTGAGAGTATTTTGTTCCTATCGTGGAACAAAGCTCTTTACGCTCAGCCAATAACTATTATACATGACTCAGTTGATATGATAGCCAATTGCTTTCTCTCTGCCTCCTGTGCCATGAGGGTTCGTATTGTCGAATCTGCTAAGCTTACAGTATAAAGATGCCAACCTCTATGTTTAAAGACACTGTTCCTGGTATTCATTGATCATTTTCATTGGCTCTTGAGGCTGTACCCATCACCTCGGCTTGTCTACCCTTTCAATCTAGCTCAGCTCCGTTCCTTCACTAGATCCGCCAAGAACCCTCTTCTTAATTAGCGGAGCGACGTCTATCAAGACCGAATAAGTGTAGACGAAACTGTAAGCGAAGAGAGCTGGCCTCTTCGGAACCATGTTTTCTCGTCTATTTGTTCTACTCAAACAAAAAAAGAAAGAAAGAAAGAAAGAAAGAAAGAAAGAAAGAAAGAAAGAAAGAAAGAAAGAAAGAAAGAAAGAAAGAAAGAAAGAAAGAAAGAAAGAAAGAAAGAAAGAAAGAAAGAAAGAAAGAAAGAAAGAAAGAAAGAAAGAAAGAAAGAAAGAAAGAAAGAAAGAAAGAAAGAAAGAAAGAAAGAAAGAAAACATATAAATAGCCCTTCGCCTTGTTCAGGACACCTGTTTGCAGTGGTCTATGTATCATGGCGTTACCAGCGGGGCTAAACATTCTTTCGAGCACACGTCCTTCTTACAGTCTCTGCAAGCAGATCTTCATTGCTGGGCTGAATATTCTCTCTCCCTCGCACAGAAACAGGGAATTTCTAACATTTGGCCTTGTCGAGATGCTCTTAATGCTAGCTGCTAGCTGTGGTCTGGGTCGAAGAATCCGATATGTTACCGACATCGTGAGGTGGAAGGTAGTAGATGGTAGTGTAGGAGCATCCAATCTCATCATCTTACCATTTTCTTTATCAATAGGGACTGCGTATTTAGATATAGCTGGTAGAAATCCCAAAAATACCAAGCAAAAAACGCCTTCCACCTCAAACAAACATTGGGTAGCTACAAAGGTCCTTGCTGCCATTAGCAAGCCGTGACCTGTAATGCCGTTTGCATACATGAACGTCCCACGGAAAAGCCATTTATTTCTGCGGGATGATTCATCCATCATATCCATCTTCTGGAGGGGCCATGGACTTCAACAGCCTGATGTATGGGGCCTTCCCATCTCTCTAGTGAATTGGCTAGGGCGCCCTGAGAAGTGCATCTCACATATTGCTCTCCTATTTCCTCAGTAACACTTATGTCAATTGAGTAGTTAAGTAACCCGTCCCGTTTGCCTGTGCAGCCCGTCTGAGCAAACGTAAACAGAGTGGAGGTAAGCTTTTGGACATTATATATGGGCTGTGCCGCCTTTAATCGGAAGCAAATACTGAGGTCAGACCCAACCTATAACAATAATCCAAGATTTAGCACCGCATAGCTTCCACTCCCCTGTTCACAATTAATGTCAGCGATGGCATGGCTCTGGGCGAGGCGCAGCGCAAAATGCGACCGGTCATCCTGTAACGCATTGTGTAAACGAATAATCGTCCGCGGCGGGATATTCACCTCTCGATATTGTGAAAACCGTGAGTCACTTTTTCAATAATTATCCCTCTTCTTCCTTCTCAAAAGCCGAGCGCGCTTTGCTAATACAAACGCTTAGACGTTTGCGCATTTCGTGGTGATGGCGAGTTTTGCGGAAGCATGAAGAGGTCGAAGCGTACGTTTTGTGCCAAGCGTAAGACTGTCTGATACCACGGCATTCGTTAGTTTCTAATACTTAAACAGACTCTAAATGCCGGGTTGGAGACTGCAATAAGTCCATCCAGGGACCAAACGGCGATTAAGGTAAGCCCGCCCTCTCTGAGTTTCCCCTTTGCATATTTACACCTGTGAAAAGAGTTTCTGGGCTGACGCATAATTAGACACTTACAGAATGCCACATAGTCTCAGAAAATCTGACCATTAAAGCGAATTATATTGTCGCATGCGTTTCGTAGCAGAGCCCGGTGACAAGGGAGATCGTTCATATGAGCGACATGTATTCAATAAGAAGTAACGCAGAGCTTGCACGACCTCACTTTTAGCAGGGGCTGTTTTAACAACTGCGTTTCCAGCTGTAGTATATTCGACTGCTACGCCGCTGTATGATTATTGCAGCAGTTGCAGTGGTACTGAAGAAGGCCCAAGTGACACTGAGACGGAGACAAGTACAAAAGGCGAATTGAGCTGTGCATGAACCGTATTCTCACCTTACTTGGGCATTTTCATATTCTTCTTCATACTTGCGTGTCTTTTGGCGGGAGTTTCTAAACTTTAAACTATGTTTCAGAGCGACTGTATGTGCGGCTGCAGACGGCTCTGGTTCAACTAAATTCTCAATGTAATGTAACTAGGAACTTACCATACTTTGACTGCTTTTGCTTTTTTTTTTTTTCTTTTCCAGTCTGTCAGTGATTATTAATGTTATTATGAGCTCAACTTAGGGAAACTTAGGGTAAAAGGAGACTATCTTTGTGAACAATTGGGACAAGCATACATGTTAACGAAAATAGTACCTACATAGTGGATAGTGCAACTGCCATAGGAAAGGTGTCTATGGAATTACCAAGGATAAATGAAATCAAAATCAAACTAGTTTAAAAAGGTATGATAGCAACTTCTTAATAGTGGTTTGGAGCTGTCGGTCGCCTCCCAGGCCTTGAGGCTCCCTTGCTACCGCATCAATATGATCCATCATTTCCCCATCACATCCATAGTATTCCTCCTGTATCTCAAGATACTTTTTTAACCTTGGGCATGGGTCTATTATCTCATCACTAATCACATTTTCCTATTTCGTGAAGTCGATAGCGGCAGGATACGGCGTCTTGCTCAGAGGCTAACCGTCCTTTCGAGCGTCTACATAAGTATTGTAGATGAGCTAGTTAAAATCCTCTCTCCCTGACTTGACCAAGTTCTGAAATTTCTTAAAGTCGGTAAGGGCAAATATGAAGTTGTAGTCGTTTACGAGTCCACAGCATGATTGAGCACTCTTGACGCTAATACGAGCCGTGCAGTGTATGACGTGCCGTATCTTGTCTAGGATGCTGTCATTGAATTCGTCGTATACGCAACCTCTCCTCGGCTCTTCTTTTAGAATGATGATAATACCGTGATCTGGCTTATGAATGACGTAGCCCTCATCTACTGTTGACTTTTGAGTGATGAATGCGGCTTGGCGATATCCTAAAGCAAGTATTGCATTGAGGGTTTCTTCGCCTCCGTCGATGAGATCTTGTTCTATGGCTATGAGTGTAGGTTAACTGTAGAATACTGAATGGTTTTGGAAGTTTAAAAAGGGCAATGCAAATATATTTGAAGCGCCTTTGAGAGAGTATGCAGGCCTTGCTTATATATTAATTGCCTTCTGGGCTAATCTTTGAAAATCTGGTTGAAAACTATTTTTGCCTTTTCCCTCTTGCTTTTATTTCTTCTCCTTTTGGAAGAATGTGCAGCGCGACAAATTAAAAGAAACTGACGCCTTTAAGCGGTAATTATAAAGGTTTGTTTGTATTCACGCCTTTGATAATTGTAAGACACAATGTTGATGGATGAAGGGCAGACGACACTTTGAAAGAGTCCTCGTCGACAACATCATTGTTTATTTTTCGACAATATGTCCTTGTGCATCGAATGTTTGTCACAATTTTCTTTGTTGATCATGCTGCGTAATTTTCAGTTGAGTGTATAAAGCACAGGCATATGAGCATCTGTATGCTCTAAAAATAGGACATCACATGTTTTGCGACATACTGCACAAAGCCAACACGGTAAAGACACAAAAAAGCTGCAAATGGAGATCAGCTATGCCTACCTAGAGGTCGACGAAGACACACAACGTCTGGCAAAGGGATCCATTCGGGGACCTTGCACCAAGATTGACAAATTTACCAAAAAGAATCGGCGCCTGTTTACCGCTCCATTGTAGCCGTGTTAGTCTCTCACCTTGCTGCATGGTTTGCGACCTTGTTACTAGGCAAACAGGCGTCCTGTCAACCGACGCCCAAGTCGTAGCCATGTAATACGAATGCTGCTCGTTGGTTCGAACAAACGATTGTGAGATCCATCGACGTATATGAATCTCCTACTAGATGCAGAATGATACCCGATAATGGCGGCAATGACGATGGTATCCATGACGACTGGCCACCAGCTGATCTCATGATCTTGATCAGCGCACCGGCTCGACTGCGGGTCTCATGGGGTAAGCCCGGTTGGCGCCGGACTCCCAGGCCTTGGCACTGCCATGATATGAGTTAGAAGACCATGTGGTGGCACCAATCCCTGAATTGATCTGGCAATGTTTCGGAAAGCTTAAATCGAAAGGAGGCGTTCAATCGGATCCTCTTTGGGTGCTGTTCAACCCGTTCCATTGATAACGCCGACGTCGGCCCATCGCTGATCCAACCTTATAATAACGGCTGCGGGCGGCACTCGCCTGAACTATAACTCATCATCCAAATCTGAATCACGCAACACAACAGCAGTAACTCACCACCATGTGCATCGTTGTTTTCACAACCGCGCATCCAGACTACTCGCTCATTCTCATCGACAACCGTGATGAGTTCATTCTGCGACCTACATCTCGGCCGCACTGGTGGACGCATCCCGAGTCGGGCAGCGATGTTCTTTCCTCGCGGGACCTCCAGAGGGCAGCAAAGGGCACTTGGCTAGGCATTACCAAGACCGGCAACTTGGCTGTGCTGACAAACTATCGCGAGGTCGACAGCGATGACGCTCAACACCCAGTGCATGGCATCAAAAGCCGAGGCCGCATGGTTAACATGTGGCTTGGAGGGCTACCGGACGAGGGAATAATGAAGGGCGTAAATGAGCTTGTCCAAGATGGCGGCGTCAAGGGCGTGGGAGGATTTTCGATGGTATGTAGCAAGCTGAAACGAAAGAACGAAGGCATCGCCATTGTGAGCAACAGGGCTGCTGACGTGGATGATGTTCCTTTGGTCGGGCTTGAGCCGGATGGCGTTTGGGGGCTGAGCAATACGGTATACAACGATCCCAACGAGTGGCCCAAGGTAACTGCGGCAAAGCGTCTCCTGAAGGAGGTGGTAATGGAGGCCGCGGCGAAGAAGTCTACTGAAGACGATCTCATTGCAAGCCTCTTCTCCGTCCTCGATACGGAATCCATGCCGGAACGACCTTCAGGATCAAGCTTGCAAGAGTATATGAACTTGATGAGGCATACCATCTTCGTGCCCCCGGTTGGCGACGAAGTCAATTGCACGGAGATGGAAAAGGCCACTGCGAAAGGCCGCATTTTATGGGCAGATCTCAAGCATAATCAAAAGGCGGTCGAAGAGCTCAAGCAAGAGTCAAGGCCAGGCATCACCCCAAGCGCAAGCCCACATCCGCCGATGGGCTTTGAAGAGGGCATGTATGGAACGCAACGACAGACGGTGATGCTGGTGGACAACGACGGCAACACGACATACGTGGAGCGGGCTCTTTGGGATGCCAACGGAAACGAGATACCCCGAGGGGAAGGAGATGTTGTTTTCCGGTTCAAAATCGAAGGCTGGGACGATTAGCTGTGGACGGACCTCTCTGAGGAGCATCTTTATGTAATTGTGTTCGAGGCGAGAAGAGGATATAATGCATTGTGGGCGATGTATTGGGAAGATCGCGGTGCAAATGACAGCAATAGACGGAGGAAGCTGGATGCTGACAATAGAGCAGCAAAGACGCACGGGAGAAAGGAGGCTGCAAGAGAGCTATGTCAAAGAGATAGAAAGATTAACATTTGAATAATTTGCTGCTGGCAAAGATGGCGCTCAGCGGAATAACTGCAAGACCGGCGCCTCTGCAGATGGCAAGGTTGCCGGGCACCTGCCAGATGCCAGTTTCTGCCAAAGTGCTTTTTCGCATCTGCTTCAGTCACGCGTCAGTCCTACGAATCGACTCGCAGTAGACAGAGACGCGTCCTGGACGGGGTTTCTCTCCAAACAAGCCTGTCGTTTAGGCGCCGCCTCTTGCCTCTCAGCTGTATCGCTTAACGAGCATGCAGCTCGATGTTGCTGCAAGCCACGCATATAACGCGATATCACGACTCCCCCAATTCTTTGGCACCTGGATATCACCAGGCCCGGCGTTTCTTTCCAGATCATATTCATCTCGCCATTCCGTCTCGACCTTTCCCATGGTCTCTCCTCTTTGTGCCTTGTCCTTTCAGCATATCACTCTCGACTAGGATTGGCTGCCCGGCTCGACAGCTCGCTGCTTTAAATAGGCAGCTCTTGTGGTAGGCAGAGCTGCCTTTTTAGAAGATCGAACAAGGAAAAGACAAACAGCTTGTTGGTAATTTTATCTCTTCCTGTGCTCTCCTTTGACTTCCGCTGAACGCCAATGATCCTCCAGCGTTGTATCTAGAATTCATTTCTTTCTTTAATAACACCTACTTGAACACCATTAGAACTCTGCTCTTCAATAGCCATTGTTGCAGCCGAAACAATATGCGAGGACGTGGAAAGAATAGAAGGCCCCTCATCTCTGCACCCATAGGCCCGGTCAAAAACTCACGAGGTGCCGATCTTATCCGAAGCGAGAGGCTTATTATTGTCGATGCCATCAAGGACTGTGAAACAGACAGCTACAGCTCCATTCCCGAATGCCGTCTTCCGTTACCTATCCAAACACCAAGGCACATATCAGCTGAATTCCACAGTGACGGCCAATTAGAAAACAGTCCGAGCGTTGCAAGCTCTGATATCGCGGTCACGCCAACCATCAAGATCTGCTCCAATCTAAAGCCGCCAAAGAAGTCGCGCAAAAGTTTGTTATCAGCCTCATCTATACCGAAGCCATCTTTTAGAACAGTGCCAACAGCTACACTGGTACAGGACGAGAATATTCCTCCTGCGCCAGATGGCTTTCTCCATCCAGATCCACCAAATCAGCGACTGGCGAGCAAACTGCCCAAATCTCGAACTATGAGTGCCCTTCATGACTTGAAGGCATCCATCTCCCGACCTTCGCTGGCTGTTCGCTCTATCAACACCTCAGCTTTCACCGGTTCCTCTTCCAAATCTTCTCCATCTTCTACTAGAACCGACGCGACACTCTGCAACCCTTCAAAATTGAATCTTGTGCAACCGTCCACAACGTCGCTGGCTAACTCGGTTCAGTCATATTCTCCCGGGACTCCATTCATGCGAATTAGCATCGCGCAATCTTCTGCTTACTGGTCTGGCCGATTCGTGGCTCTCCATGATAAATATTTGTCAGAAGACCTTGCCAAAGATGCAATTGAATCTCGCCTATCGTTGACCAACTCCTTTTCCGCGAGACCCAAAACGCCATACAGTAGCCTACATCAGCGAGCATCTCATCTCCCCAATTCAACTACCACTTCCGCCTTGAGAAGCTTCATGACATCGTCCAATGTCTCGCCCGAAAATGAAGAGGACACGCGATGTCGCCGTGTATTTGACCACCTCGATAGTCTTTGCACCACAGATGAAGCGAGGCGCTCTTTGCACATCTGGCAGCAAGCTTATGCTCGTCGACATGGTCGCCCCTCGCTGCTCCCCGAGGGCGGCACTATGGAAGAAAAGGGCCTAATAGCAAAGATATTCCGCAGCTCGGGTGCCAAAAAAGGCGAAAGGCACAGCTTGACAAAACTGCGCTACGGCTCTTATAACCACGATAACAAGTCCAAGAGCTTTCTCTCGGGAAGCATTTCTAGCGCGTCTCGGGAAAAGCGTCTCACCTTGTCGTAATGAAATTGGATTCATAATTGTGCGAATTAATTGTGTTGGAAGGAGTGCAAATTGGCGTTTGGCCCCGATGAGTCTTCTTCTTCTTCTTCTTTTTTTTTTGCAATGTTTTCTTGATTCCCCTTTTTGTTCTTGGCACAAGAAAGCCGAGATGTAATGGATCGACTCAGGGGCAAGTGTTTGAATTGGAATTCAACTGGAAATGGAATTTGTGATGGATACTGTGATGGATACATCGAAGAATCATCCCCTTTAGGGATTGAATTGGCTGTTGCTCGAATTGGAGAAGTACATGTGCTTGAGCTTCTTGTTAAAGAAATGCAAAAAAAAGGGGGGAAAGCCTTCAAGACTATTGTAGAGTTAATGTAGGTACATTCAAGTTTCGAGATAGTTTATGGCAATGAGTTACTGATATGAATTACAACTTTTGTTCTTTTGTATTGATGTAATATACGCGGCATCCATTTTGGGGGTTCAGCCGATTAATGCTTCCCGTCCCAGTGTCCATTCCCAGCGCCAGACGCCCAATTAAATTTCAGTCGTTATAATGCAATTTGCCAAGTAATAGATGAGAAACAATCAAAAATTACGTAGGAAAGAGTAGCTGTAATAAAGTCTTATTCCGCCCTCTTCCTTGTTTTCAAAAAATCTTTAATCTGCTCATGTTTGTTTGCAAAGAACATGCGCGCATGATCATTTCTCCAAACCAGCACGCCAATCTCCTCTGAGAAGCGCGCCGTGTCGAGATAGTCTTTATCGTCGGTGAAGTCTCTGAACAAGAAGCCGCTCGTCGTCTTCATGCGCTCATTCTCCAGCTGCCACAGCCGGATCTGGTCGACGACGGTGGGCGGCAAGACGGGCTTGTTAGTGAGGGCGGCGGTGCGGTGCATCTGCTCGTGGGCGTGGGCGGCGAGATAGGAAATGATCTGGTCGGCAGTGATGCCAAAGTTGATGGCCTGACGGATGGACGCGCGGGAGAGGCGCCCGGCGACCATGTCTGGGAAGCGCATGTTGAGCTTGGCGAAGAGGGCGAGGACGGCGATTTGGAGGGCGGACTGGGTGTAGGCGTAGAGGCGGTAGTTTGTCTCGATGACGACGCTGCCTGATTGCTGCTCCCCGCCACCGCCGAGGGGACCAAGGGATTGCTGCGATGTCTGGGCTGACTGGGTAGCAGCTGTGACGCCCTCGCTGATTGTTCGCAGACTGTTGCCTCCGCTCGTAAGGGTTGTAGCCAGTCTTGTCGGGAAGAACATGGAGCGCTTGTGCTGGGGGATGTAAATGAGGCCGAAGTCGACGAGCGAAGGAAGCATATTCCTCCGCTCTTCGGTCAGCGCATTTGTGTCGTACGCTCGTCCCAGCTCGAGGCTGGCAAGCATGAAGAGGAACGAGAGCATGTCGACCGGATCCAGTCCCGAGCCCTTGTTATTGCCCAGAACATCCAGCCACAGCAAAAGTAGCGTCCAGACCTGCGCATTTGCCTCTTGCAGCAAGAAGGTAAAGCCCGCCTGTGTGATGCCCAAGCCTCCGTTTGGTCGTCTGTCGACAAGTCGCCCTGCGATGAGGAGCTCCTTGACGCCCTTGTTCGGCCCAGATCCATCGCCGACGCTCTTATAGCCAACGCTGGAGACGACAAAGTGCAAAACGTCGTCCCACTTCTTGCGCGCGTATCGATCGAGGAACGGCAGGTCGATTTCGGGTGGGATGAGGAGGGAAGATGGCACGCCGAACGAGTTGTGGTTCCCGCCACCGGTGAGAGCGAGTCGGAGAGATCGTTTAAAGTTGGACATGAGCTGGATCTCCTGTGGCTTTTCTTTGGAGGGAGCGGAGATTTGAACAATATGAAGTCCTCTCAAGATGGAGAGCGATTGATCCTTTTTCCTGTTCCAAGGTTAGGCAGGCAATTGTGACAATGGCAGAAGGCGTGATCTAACCGCTTAGCTTCTGGCTTCACCCAAACATCTAGATCGTTCAGAGTCATGGGATGTGGCATGAACAGCATTCTCATGACAAATGTCTTTGCCAGATGCGGCAGCATGCGCCTGAAGATGGCAAAGGCCGTGGAGGGCTGCTGGTACAGCTTCTTAAAGGTCGTACCAGGCAGCCTCTCTAGATATTCGGCGAGATGGAGGGAAGGGTTGTTGGACATCTTGGCGGCTTGTGGATGACGAGGTTGCTATCCGCCAGGGAGAGAGTGGATGCCGTGCTGACTATCGCATCATATACGAAAGCCCAGCCTGCAGCGTTGGCCTGGACGTTTGAAGAATTGGGTGGTCGAGCGTGAAGTTTGAGGTTGTTATGTTGAAGATGCTTCGGCGCATCATCGGATAATGGGTCGCCTGAGATAACGGGCGATAGCGCCCAGCCCGCTAATGGCAGCGCTAAACATCGCTGGCCATGCTGTCTCAGTGGAGGGATCTCGGCTACACAAGCCGCCGCCGCCTTCAACTGTAGCCGAATCCCGGACACATCTACTGCTCCCAACAAACATAGCAAGATACATGTATCCAGTCAATTGAACCGGTCTAGGTAACATCATGGCGAAGAAGCTCTCTCCCTTCAATTTTACAAAGGCTGTCATGCGGTCATTCATGGCCGAGTCAGGTCTCGAGCCCAGGTAAGAGCAAACTCCAGTCTTGGATCTTAGCCGGATAGGTACTGACAAGGCGTAAGACTGCTTCACAGCCGAGTATGTGCAGAAACCTTGAAGGATTTGGATACAATTTTGGTTTAGAGCTCACAGAAGTGTTCAGTTCCGCATAATAAACGCTACAGAGGGTAAAGTCGACTTCGAAGTCGACATTCACAAAGATCATACGGTGAATTGACCCGAGTAGACGAGTGGCGGGCTTCAATATCCTTTTCAAATCTAACGCTCTCGCCTAGAATCGGCTCCAAACCATACATGGCGGTACCATAGCCAGCCTTGTTGACCTCGGAGGATCTCTGGCAGTCGCATCTACTGGGCGATTCGCAACTGGTGTGTCAACTGACTTGAATGGTAATTACCTAGGCGAAAACAAACTCCCCTGTTCAATGTTCCCAGCGAGTCATCGTACTGACATACGTCATCTCTTTAGTTACGTATCTAAGTCCCGGTGGCCGGCCTGGCGATCTCCTCAAGGGAACTGCTACTTGTGATAAGAGTATGTAATTCTCATGAATTGGTATCTGGTAACTACTGCAAGAGGCATTCTGACCTTGGGATGACAGTTGGCAAGACGCTCGCGTACACATCGGTGCAGTTCTACAATAGCAAAGGCCAGCTCGCCGCAAGAGGCAGCCACACTAAGTATTCATATTTGCCAATCTCCTTGTCATTAAATCACCACTGACCTTGGCGTCTAGGTATGTCGCTGGAACCATGGGCCCGGATGGGGCCTTTGTAGCTCCGGCACAATGGGTAGATGAGGTCGACTAGGTTTGGATCGATTCGATGGTGTCACTTTCTAGTAAGGACAACAATGCTATAACAGCTCCAGCATGGCGATAACATAGACTAAGCCGTAGGAATCAACTGTATAGAAAAATTCTCATTATAGGGAAGAGGCTCGAGTTACAGAGATGGGAATGTGATTGCGACATCCTGTAGCCCAGATACATGCACGATGAGATAATCAGTAGGATAAGCCGCAGAGCCTCATCTGCCGGCCAGCGAGGGCGTCAACCCACCTTTCTTCTTCTTTTTTTAACTGTCTACTTGCTCTTAGATGCTACGTAGTACTAGACTCTAGCCGATGGGGCATTCAGCAACTACCTAGTAGCTGCATATAATAGAGATCAGCGGATACGTGTGACTGGCCGCCTCGAAGCGGTTTTCCACCCCGAAGCGGGTTCCCACCCCGTGAAAGAGGTACAGAGACTTGTCAGATTCGCTTGCATGTGACATCAGAGGCATAGGTTTGACTCAATTAGATGCCAACGGAGTGCTTCGCCACTCTTTCTATTTCTCTGCCTATTGCTTCGTATACATGATTACCGCAAAATCGCAACACCATCGTCTAGCTTGACAGAGTTGCAAAACATGGGAAGTGGCTTAGGTCTTTGCTCCAAGTGCTTATTGCACCATTCAGGCAAGGGTTGAAGTTAGAATAGGGCAATCAAACCAAACAATTTTCTGCTAATGATGCAATATGGACAACAAGGCTACTGGGTACGCACGTAGCATGTACCTGTATCCACCACGCTTCACGGGTGACTCGTTGATGATCGCAGCAAGATCCTTGTAAATGGCAGCCTAACAACTTAGGAAAACATCCAGGTGACTGGTGCACCTCCGGTATATAATTGGGCACTATTGATAGACCCGTATTGAAGAATAGGCTCTTTTCGACGCCCGGGGCCAGGAGGTGGAGTTTTTGGGATCCGGCGTTACGTGATGCTCCATGCCTGTATGTAACGCTGGCCATTTCCCCAAAAAGAGATGCCTGGCTCTTTGGGCTGCGGAAGGCTATGCTATTGGATTAACGCATACTTCCCTGAGGATACTTGGCTGCGTTTTTTAGGAGGCGGGTTTGCTTCGGAAATCGTTTGAGCGTGAGATGCCCGCCGAGATCCCGGCTGTTCGGACACGGTGGGGCCGGGACTCGTGATACGGCTCAGGCTCGGAGAAGGGAAGAACAATACGAATGATACGAACAAATTGGTGCTTCGAGGTGAGGTATCTATTCTTGCTAGAGACACATGTTCGTATATACAGCTACATGCTATTGGCCCATGTACCATGTGTATGTATCCTACTGGATGCCGCTTCGTCCTGCTATTATTAGCTGTCAATCCGTACATGTACACAAGATACATGTACTGGCCTGGCTAGAATCGGCTTGATAAACCACCACCAGATAGCGACAAGAGGCAGTTTGTTTATCAGTCACCAACGTTCGGCATCACAAGAGCACATGCCCCGGCCATATGGATCGAGTCGGCTTCCGTGTCATGCTGCCAATGGTGGTTTCTCTTGCTTTAGCCTCCGCCACTTTTGGGGAAACAAGATCGAGATCACGGGCCGCTGCCGCAGTGGCCAATGTCGAAGTTGCATTCATACTGTAGCTGCTGCCAGCGCAGCAAACATGCCCAACCATAGTTAATACCAAGAATCGTGCGCCGTGCTGGCAGTGCAATTATCGTTTTGGGGTGGGGCCCGCACAGCCTCTCTCTGCCGACTGGATGGATGAGTTCATGGCGCAGCTCGCAGCTTCGACCAATGCAGATTGCCGCTGCGTTTTTTGCCGGTGCACAGGCCGGAGCAATGCCAGAAACTCCAGCTATAGTCGATATATAGGCAAATTGCGCCGTCAATAAACAACAGGCCATATCAAGCAAGCGGTGTATACTGCAGCACTTTTCCCAAGATTCAGCACCAGCACACCAACCTAGCGGCTCCGCTCGATGACGAGTTCACGACGGGGTGTAAATCGGCACAAGGGCCGCAGCAAGCCTCACCAAAACGTCCCGACGTTGAAGGCGAGGCAATACAAAAACGGGCAAGGGTCCTCTTCCTGACAGGAAAAAAGAAAACCACAGAGGTTTTACCATACCACAAGTCGTAGATAGATTTTAAGTGCTTGACTCCTTGCTTCGTACCTTTTCCTTAGTACCGGTTGGCGACAGCCCAAAACAGCTGAGGCGGCCACCCTCTCATTGGACGTCAGTTCCATCAGTTCCAGGTACCTTGTATCGTTTTTGGGTTCCATCCCGGGTCCAAAGCCGCGCATAAAACGGGACTCGTCGGCTGCGTCCGTTTCGTTCACTCGCCACCCAACCTTGTGCACTTTGATCTCGATTCCATCTCCAGGTCCAAGAGGCGAAGCAGAGGCCGTCCAGTGATCGGATAAGCTTAGTTGCCCGCCGCGAGACCGCCGCAAACTCTCTTTTGCCTCTTTGCTGGCGGGCGGGGGACAAGCCATTCAACTGGCAAGAAAAAAACATCCCCGCACCTGGGTAGCGGCCCGGGCCTTAGATTCAATCAGTCGTCCAGCTCTCCAGCTGCTAATCTAATCGGAAGCTAGATCGCCTGTAGCTTCACTGGCAATAGCGCTGGCCACCCGCTATACGCGAATAGCGGGCCATGATGTCAAAACGAAAACACCGAGAGGCGTCACCCTCGATTTTACTTCCAAGCACCCTCAGCCGTGCCCATCGTTCACCAATCGACACGTCCGGCTACATCCCGCAGAGGGCGGGGCAGCGGTTTCATCGCCAAGGAGAGGCGAATACGCAGCGAGACCAGCCCAATCAATCGCCGTATGCCGTCCAGCCTGTCCACAATGGCCAATCGCTGGTCATTCGGACACACGATGTCCAGTCCATGGCCCGAGAACGAGACATGATATCCCAGACGACTGCCTCTCCCATGGCTCGGCTTTATCCCTTATCGAGAATCCCGTCGCCATTGTCATCCCCGCATATCGCCAGTCCCATGCCGCTGCTCTCCCCGCCAAGACGCACGGCTCCCGCGCAAATCCTCAGCGATGTTACGCAGTTTCAACAAACATGGACCGACAGGTTTCAAAGGAGGGACGATAGGCTGTTCAATTCTTTTGACTGGGATGGGCCAGTCTTGACAATTCGAGGCCAGCCGCTCGTTAATCGGCAACAACACATGATATCGGTTAACAACAATGTCTCGAGCATGGGTACACAAGAGTCTAGCGACATGCAGCTTCTTGCAGACTCATGGATCGATAACATCAGCGAGTTTTCCCAGCAAACCTCGACGATATCGGGGCAGCTCACCGAGAGCGATCAGCATAACACACATGACTACTTGGACAATGGATTGTACCCCCCTCAAGATGGCGATGGCAGAAATATTGCAAGCCAGGCCCCAAGCCCCCAAGAGCATCAACATTCCTCTGGCCATGTTGAAGACCCATTGTTCGATGTGAGACTCGGCCTAGAGCAAATGGTTGCAAGTCTTGACGCACTCTACCAGCGACCAAACATGGGGCGGGACATCAGTGGCTACGGGCGTGGTATACTTGGTGCTGCAGAAGGAAACCCGCAGACGCCTCAGGACTATGATGCAAATGCTGATACAATGCAAGGGCACTTCCCTGTACTGCACGATAAATCGTCATTCATATGCCCCTATGCAATGAGGTACCCCGATCTTGTACATCATAACTGTTTTCAGAAGATCAACACAATCCCGTACCTGAAACAGCATCTGAGAAGCGTACACCACGATGCAATGAACTGTCCTCATCAATGTCAAAAGAAAAGAGCAGAGGCACCACATCGACGGAGCCGGGCGAATAACGCGCTCCATTACGATTCGGGCACATGTCTTCAGATCAAACAGCGTAGCGACCGATCAAGATCACACATACAGCAATGGGATCGCATCTATCAGATCCTATTTCCCCACGCGAACCGCATCTCGGACCCCTGCATCAAGGACTGGACTATCAAGCAGTTGAGGGCTATTTACAGGTTCAAAGAAAAACACGGACCCGAGTGCCTGGCCCCCGTCTATTACCGGCTGCATTTCAAAATCAGGCAAGCCTATCCAGAGCCAGAAGTCTTGTACCGGATGGCATTCTGTACCTGGCTGCCAAAGGTGTTTGAACAGCGATTTCCAACACGAGGGCAAGAACTGCTAGGTGATTTCCTAAAGCAAATCAACTCTGCGCAGCGTCGCAATTCCCACACTCTCGATACCACCCCCATATTTCTAAATGGGGAGACGTCGGCATCAGTCTTACCCAGAGTCCAAATAGAGCGACAAGACTCTCCCCATGCATCAATACCGCCACCCATTGAGATTGGCTCTGATCGAACAAACTATTCCGCCATATTTACGCCCTATGCCATACAGCAACAACAGAGCCCCATCCCATCTCGGGCAGACGATACCTTTTTCGAGTCTCAGCATGACTACTCCCAACTCTCCGTGCCTCATTATCTCTCTGCCCTTCAGTCCCCAACGGATATGAGTTATCTTGAGTCGACACCAGAGATCCAGGACCTTGAATACGACTCTTTTGACTCCAAACACTTTTTGTTCGATCAGTGCGCCCCCTTGCCTGGCAGTCCTTCCCAGTTCTTGGCAGAAGTCGCCATGGATGTGGAAGACATTAGCATTTCTGAAGCGAATAGAGTGCTCAAGTATCATTTTGGCGCATCAAGTTCTAGCGGTTTGCTCTGAAAACCTGTTTTTACCACGTTATCATTATTATTTCCATTTTCCGTTACCTTTTCTCCTTTTTTTTTTCTCGGATTAATTTTTACCCAAGTCCCTGCCCTCTCCCATATTTTTCTTTTTTTCACATCATTTTATTTATTGTCTGGGATATTATCATATATTGTTTGGGATTGATATACTGCAGATGCTGTACCAATGTGGTTCTATCACCAACGTCGTGTGGATGGAGATTGACAGAGGCCTCGCTTCGATCTATTTATTTATTTTTATCTTTCTTCTTCACTATTTTACTATTTCTTATATCAATTGGGCGGTGTTTTGACCGAACAACCTTAAACGGCGGCGGCGTATGTTCGGTCTTCGGCATGGATGGCATTATAAAAAAAAAATGGAAAATACGAGCTACGAATTCTAGGAATGAAATCATTAGCTTTTGTTTATATCAGCTCTCTTTGCTTGTCGGGGCGGAGACCTTTTGTTTTTGGATGGATACCCTTGCATATTGGCCGGCCGATAGATTTGGGAACAACGAGATTATGGATGGGATGGGACACAGACAGAAATGAGCTTACAACAGAGACCACGAAGGTTTAGGCAATTGAATGATTCATAAAGTGGTGCATTAGATCACAAAAACGCAAAATCACAACGTTGATTAAGTCGTTGGACTTTTAACACGGGCAATATTATCTAAAAGTTCAACTTGTCGCTTCTAATCCTTCTTACCTCTCCTCCTATCTTCTCGTTCATCAGTCCCAAGAACATAATCCAAAAGCCCGATACCCCCAAAGTACACGTCAAACCTCTCATGATGCCGGTCATGCTTCTTGGCCGCTCCCCCAAAGAAATCATACCCGCTATGCACCGTCGAAGTCTCGATGAGCTGAAAGGCCACAAACACCCACATGGTGAGAATATGCGACTTTAGCAGCAGCGGCGGCAGCAAAATGGGCAGCACGTTGGCCGAGATGTGCTCCACCGGGTGGGCATACTGCGACGAAAACGCGACGGGGGCCGTGAACTTGTGGTGCTGCTTGTGAAAGCGTCTATACAGCGGGCGCAGATGGAGGATCCGGTGGGAGCTGTAGAAGAGGGCCTCGCGGGACAGCACGCTGAAGAAGAGGTCTCGTACGAATTCTTCTAGCGAGGGGAGTTTTGCGTCGACTCTGATGCTGGGGGGCAGGCCCTTTGCGAAAGTTGCGTAGAGGAGGGCGCCGTGGAGGGCGAAGACGATGGCCTGGTTGCGGATGCAGATGACCATGGAGTGCAAGATTTCGCTTGACGTGGGCTGCTTGGGCGCGGGCTGGATTTTGTGTTTTGAGGAAAAGGACGGTGCGATGGAGTCGAGGAGGACGAAGAGGATGCATGGAATCCACCAGAAGATGACTTGGATGATGAAGGTGCCGACGAAGTCGACGGTGTAGGGGTCGTAGGTTGCGATTATGTGGCCCCAGGAAGCTGCCACGGCATCCATGATAGCCATGGTGTGTGAAACTGAAGGTATTGCAATGGCTGTAGAACTTGGAAACCGTATACTTTGAAATCTTCGATTATGAAGATGCCAACTGAATCTTCCAAACGATACAGCAGCTCAAAAGATGTAAATGAGAATGGTGGCGGGGAGTGGCAAAGAAGCGCTCTCTTCAAACTTGTGAAGGCCTCACATTTCAACCACTGGCTGGATATATAGTATATAGCCTGGTTCATCTGCCTCGGCTCGCGCGTGAGGGGCAATACAAAAAACATTTGTTAAAAACGAGTCTAGGGAACAAAAAAATCCTTCTCTAGTTCAGCCACATCTTGCTTCCCCACGTCTCTTAAGTTGATCTAGCGGGGGGGGGGGGGGGGGGGGGGGGGGGGGGGACCACACAAATCAGCTCTTTTTCTAAAGTTGTCTGTTGCTCGTCTTCTCATTGGCTTTTCATGTTTTATTGTCCTCACGCAACATATACCTCTTTCAGCCACTCTTACTTGAGAAATACTACTTTCAGTATAATTCACAATGCATACATGTACACAGATATATGCCTCGGCTCACATGTAAACTCCATGCTGTTAACCACACCAAACCCCTTTCAAGCTCTCCATCCTCCCTCAAGCTCTCCATCCTCCCTCAAGCCACTCCTGTGCGATCCTATAACTCCCCTCTCGCACATCCCCCGGAACGGTATGTCCAGCCCCGTCAACCGCCACAAACGCCAATCGACCGGAACTCTTCCAGAATCCCGTCGCGGCTGTCCCTTCTGGCAGCTCCCGCCACGGAGCCAGCCGATAGTCCGCCAGCCCGCTCCATCGCAGGTTGTCATACGCCCACATGTTGCCCGGGGTGTTGAGTCTGTAGTCCTCGTTGCCCTGTAGCACAAGCACGCGGATGTCGCCCAGGTTGGGAGTGCGGTAAGCGTCGAGAATACGTGCAACTTCACGGGTCGTGGTCCTGAAGGGGTCTTTGGAGTCGATGTAGGCTACGTCAACGTCGAGGTCGACGATTTCAAATACAAACGAGGGCGGCAACTGTAGGGCCTTTTTGACGTGGTCCTGGTTGAGGTAGGCTGTGATGTTGCCTTTCGTAATGTCTGAGCACAAAGGCCAATCAGGGCAGGGAATATGGACTGTATAAACGCCGTTAATATCGAAAGTATGAGCAGGGGCAACGGATTCAACATACCATTAAACGGGTTTCTTTTCCCTGCCATGACCTGGTCGTAATAATACGGATGCACCGCCTCTTCTACGTATGTCATCATGCCCCGGCATTCATGTCCATCATTACTCGCATCGCAGTTTCGTCCGAGCTCAAAGAGCTTAGGCACGTTGAGTGCGAGCGCCTCACAGACGGTATCATTCACAATCTTGTCGTGTTTCCCGAATCCCTTGCATAAGAACTCGTATGTGCCCACAGCGGGGGCAGTATAGTCAATCACGGCATTTATCAGTATGAGAGAGGAAATGTTGCCCCAGAAAGCATCTCGGGAGTTGAACCTCCGTGACTCTAGTATATAGTCGAGGTAGACTGGTCCATAATGCCCTCCGTAGGACTCAGCCGCAATGTGGATGGGCAGACAGGCTCGGTCTGGGAAGATGTCTTTGAAGAAGATGTTGAGAAAGGCTTGGAAATCGGATGCGCCGGCGAGATCAAAGGCCGGGACGGGCGATCCCTCTGCGCGAGAGGAGAAGCCAACGCCAGCGGGCTGGTCCAGGAACAGCACCGAGGCATTGTTGTTCCAGGCAAAGTCGTTTGGCACGGTGGTGTTTTCGCCAGGCTCCAGCCAGCAAGCGCCCATTTCGTTGAAGAGTCCAAACATCGAGGTGGCCCCAGGTCCTCCATTCATCCAAATGATGACGGGATCATTAACGGGGTCATTTCGGCTGTCGAAGAACCAGAAGAAAAGGCGGTGCGAATCCGTCACGTCGATTGTGCCTGTCCATTGCGATTCGCCGTATGTGGCACACGTTGAATCATCTTGCGGCGTCAAGGTATACTGGCCAGCTTTAAAGGAGGGAACATCCGCTGATGAAGATGTTGTTGCTGTCTTGGAGCCGGCCAGTGGCCGTTGTTCGCCAAAGTCGAAGCTTTGAAACTGGAGTCCGTCCGAGATTCGGGCTGATTCATGCTGTTTTGGGAGGAATGGCGGGAGTCTAAGATAGGCGACTGCATTTCCTGCAAGCAAAATGCCCGAAGCAACTACAGTCTTGGCGATGATCATGATGAGGTTGCTTGCGATGATACCACCCTCCAGCCGTAACGATTCAGTAGTTTAACAGGGCAATCCTTGTTACACTTCTCATCCCATCGAGGCTTCTAACGAGAAACAAAAATTCAAGCCCCTTATTCTCTATTTAAGAAGCGTCAAATTACGTGACTCTTTATCGCAGCGGGGTTCGTCTACCGTACCCGTTACAAGAACGCGCGTTTATAGGTACGCTTGAGCGCTTGTAATTTTCGAATAAGCAGTTTTCGTTGGTGGATCATGTCGCCATCTCGGCTGAGGGCCTTTTGTAGCTCATGATAAAGGATCAACCACCTAACGCCTTTTTTCCCATGATAAAAAGCAACAGAGGCCGAGAGCGGAGGATTTGTGATAGAAGCTAGGCATACACAGAGATACTCTGTAGCCTTCGCTTCCTATACGCCGTTACAATACGACAAGGATAGATATGTATGCGCTTCAGTCTGTATAAAGAGGATGGTCATAATATTCCGTCAATTCGTCAAATTTTTTCATACGTTCGATATGCGTTTATATACCCTTGTACCAGATATCCATTCCAATCCATAGCATACAAACAAGATGGCTCAGCGACCAGCCAAAGCCAAGACAATCATTCTCACGAGCCCAAAAAAAGAAAAATGAATCATTCTACGCAGCGTATCCATAAAAAGAACAAAAAGAAAAAGAAAATCCTTGCATTAATCCATTCATTAAATTCGTGACTTCGTTGTCTATACGCTCAAACTTCGAAATCGTCCACGTAAACGCTCAAGTCAGAGTGGCCAACATGGCACGGACAAGTCCAGGCGAGGGTCCTGTACACGTAGTCCGGGTCAGCCACTTTGCTCGATAGGAATTAAATAACAGAAAAACCAGGAAAAAATCATGTGCAACGGCAATAAACGCGGCGCACCTTTCATCGGTATTTTGGCACGCTGATGGACATCCTACCTTTCTTGTCCTTCTCGATACGCGCCGGCTTGTGGGACGAAATCTTCTCAATCGATTCTTCGTACGTCACAAAGTCTCCGTTGGGGAGTCTCTCGGTTCGGACGACCTCGCGGTCAAGGTCTCGTTTGCCTCGGTAGGCAAGCTCCTTTTCGAGAGCTTTGATTTCGGAGCGAATGTCCTTTCCGCTGCGCGATCGTGTTCGTGAACGATGGCGCTCCACTAGCTGGTAGTCGTCGCTGAGATGATGGTGGTGGTGGGAGTGAGAGCGGCTCCTGCTTTTCCGGCCGCGCGATGATGGCGAGTAGTCTCGGTATATGATGGTTTTGTCATCTCGGTATACTGACTTGTCGTCATAGTACACGCTTTTATCATCGCGGTAGACGGTCTTGTCAATCAATTCAACTCCTCCACGAGGCACAGCCTCGATGATGACGGGTGCTGGGTGCCCAGAGTGCCCAGCGTGCACAGGAACTAGAATTGGAGCTGGAGCTGGAATTGGTGGAGGACCTGGAGGCGGAGCATAAACCGACTGTGGAGGCGGAGGCGCATAAATCGTCTGTGGGGGCGGAGGTGCTGGTGCTTCGATGATGAGCTCCTCTCTGCGCTCTCGGATGATCTCGCCGGCTGAGGATCGAGCAGCGGCAACTTCAAGTTCACCTTGAGATTCCGGGTTAGTACTGAGCCAGCTTACGCAGAATTAAAGAGAGCAATGGACTCACTTGACTTGTACTCTTCACTCAGTTTAAGCAGGTGGTCGATATTGGCTTGTCCTAGAGCCTTTTGAACGACAATGACATTGCCCTATCACACTCTTTGTTAGCCTTGTTCCTTGGAAATGGTCTGCCAACCGGTATAAAGACGTACTTCTTCAATAAAAGGGTAGCCGACGTCAATCAGCGCCCGCTTAGACACTAATCTAGCAGGAATTCTGGTCTTGCCCTTCTTTGGATACTCGCTCTTGGTGCTCTTGACTGTGGTGCCACCGCTGCTGCTGCTACTGCTGCTGCTGCTACTGGAAGACCGGGTAGAAGATTTGGATGCGTGAGATCTGCCTCGGTGGCTGCGCTTGTGGGAGTGGCTTCGTTTAGTAGAGCGGGAATCTCGGCTGCGGCTGCGCTTCTCCTTTTCCTTTTCCTTCTCTCGAATAATCTCTCGTTCGACGATGCGCTCTGGAGGGATGACCGGGGCGGCCGGGATGCCTTCTCCAATTCGATCGTGCTCAACGTGGATATCTTCATAGAAGCGTTCGTCATATTGTCGAGGCGGCAGGCCGCGGGCCTTGGGAAGAGGAATAGGTGTATATGCCGGGGCCCGGTAGTCTTCACGGAGAATGTCCTCGCGGCGGGCCGGCGCTGGAAGTTCCTCTCGCTGGTCGAAAAATCTGGGCAGTGGTCGACGGTCATATGTATCAAGGGATGATTGGCGGCGCATCAGCCCTGGGCGTCGAGGCGAAGAGTCACGGTAGTACTCGCGATCGCGTTCCTTTTCGACAAACATGGTACGGCGTTCAGAAGACTCTCGAAGAGGTTCTCGAAGAGGTTCTCGGAGGGGATCTCGGAGGGGATCTCGGAGGGGATCTCGGAGGGGGTCTCGGAGGGGGTCCCGGAGAGGCTCCCGTCGAGGATCTGAACGGCGATCAAGGCGGATGTCATCTTCGTAGTACCGGCGATCACGGACAATATCATCTTCGTAGGATGACCGGCCGTATCTGCTGCCAAGGCGCTCCTCGGAGCGATCACGGCCACCCCGCCCGCCGCTCATAAAGCGATCTTCTTCGAAGCGATCCCGCTCACGAACCTCTTCTCTCTCGCCGACAAAGCGGTCCCGATCCAGGCGATCCCGTTCCCAGCGATCTCCGCGACTGGCCATGGTGGGTCGAGTGGCAATGAGATGGTATTGTGTGTATCAGATGAAGTCTTGGTGACTGTTCAAGAGTGCCTCGGACAAGGTGGTCTTTATAATGAACACAGAGTGACAAAGAGCAAGATGCCCCTCTTTGTACGCCCGAAGAATAGCGCCGTGCCTCCAAAGAAGACAAACGCAACGCACAAGGCACAAAACACTTGCTTTCAAACAGCTGCTATTTCGAGCTCGCTGGAGAGTTGAAAGAAGATGGTGAGACGAAGGGCCAGCCGGCTATATGAAACAGCCCTTTCTTCTCTGCAAGTGGATTTCGGGTCAAGCGATGACGTTTGTGTGCTGAGCCCCGCTTGGCCTTTTGGTCCGTTCCAAGTTTTGCGCAGGGGTTGCTGGACTTGCTGCGCCAGTAGCGGCGAGCCGTGGGCAACACCAACAGCTAGTGGTGAGCGGCACGGCCAGGGAGGCCCCGTGATAAGCCACAGGTGAGGTCACGGCGCGAGGGTTCGCTGGGAGGGAGAGGCCCGAGGCGAGGGCGCTGGTGCTCGTGATGTGCGGGAGGGTTGCTGCGACGGTGTGGGTGGTTTGATATGGGCTGTGGCTGGTGAGATTCAGCTCGATGATATGAGGGATTCAGCTCAAAGGCCCCCAACAAAGACTGTGCGTGTTAGTGCCGCTACGCCATGTACATTCAATAATAGCAATACGAGCAAAGATAGCACACGGGGGGACAAGAGACGAGAGACGAGGGAGCACGGGGATGAAGAGTCTTTGAGGATGGACGACCTGCGTCTGGTGTCTTACTTGTAGATGCCGATGCTACTATTCCTGCCCTCACCTCATGTGGCTCTGCAATCATCAACTCCAAGATGCATCATTTCGCCTGTCCAGGTGAGGGGCCCTCCTGGTGACGTTTTCGTCAAGACCTGGGTCCAGTCTCGGCACTGCAGCTCGCCCATCTGGTTGGCTCGTCGAAAATCAAGGCCCTTAGCACCCCATACATGGACTAGGTTCAGGTTCAAAATCCACCCTGCATAAACGAAGAATCAACTTGTACCAGTTCAGACAAGAGGCCATCGAGAATAGATTAGAATCGCAGGTGAAAAGTCCCACAGCAAGAGGGCCTACAAGGTTGCTACGCGCTTACTATCCTGGATATGCAAGGGGCCATGGGGGAAAAAAAAAATCTCACATCGTGTCTGCCGCTTGGGTACCAGTGGTTTTTTATGCCTGGATGGAGGTTGGGCGACAAAATGACGACCCTGAACCATCACCACCTGTGACCGCACTCGCTCTACAAGCTGCGCAATAGCCCCAGCCGAAATACTACGGGGTAGCCGCTGGATATGTATCACCTGCGGTGACCAATGATGCCCTATACATGCCCTTTTCCACTTCCCCTGCAGCGGTCGTCCAGCACAGCCTGCGTCTCCCGCTTTGGCGAACCCATCGCGGCAGGCGGCATTTGGCTGAGACCGCAGCCCATTGGGCCGGAGCCAAGATCTCACAGCCGTGCTCCTGTCCCACTGCAGGAGACTTTTTGGCCACTCGGGCTGTGAGGCCTTGGCCGTATGTACGGGTATTCACCTCTGGGCGCCTCTTAGTTGGGCTGCGGCCGCCGGAATGGGCCAGGCTTGTGTGCGTCGATAGCCGTGATATCAGGCCACTTTGGAGGGCAAGCCTTGCCTATCAAAAGCGAAGAAGGCTTTGTTTCTAAACTTTTCCTATTTCAAAGTGTGTACGTATTGTTATACTCATGAAAAGTCACTATGGTTTATGTGTCGCTCTTTTGCTGGGAAGCCTAAAGTTGGAGATCCCGAGACAGCATGAAAATCTCGCCCCATGGGAATATCCAACACACCATACTAGGGAATTTGGTGAGCGTATATATTCACAAAGAGACTGCACCTCGAATATAGATGCATTTGTACATTTTTCACGCTCATGGTAAGGCGATATTAGCTACCTGTAACACTCGGAATCGCTCAATAATGTGCATGCATGTAGACACCATTAATCATTCATCTCATTCCAAACAAATCATCATTCATACAAATCATGCTATTCAACTTTTAAATCCAATTCGAAGCATTTTTATACCTCCAGTTTCTCATTTTTGGCGACTTTACGCTTAGCATCCAACATAAATGGCGTTGGCGTAGAGAGCATAAGTATCGGCGTGGTTGAGGTTCTGAGAAGCAGATAGAGACTGGATAAAGTTGTATCCATAGCCACCATAGTCCTGGGTGCCCTTAACCTGCGACAGATGCGTTGACTCATGGATGACCGTGTTGGCCTGATCTTGCGCATGGCATGTTCGAGACAGAGATGGCAGAGCGCTGAAGTAGAGGTTGCAGTAGGCCATGAGACTGCCGCTGGGAAGCGTGTAAGCCAACACTCCCGAGCTACATCCGCCGAGTACATCTGAGCAGTAGAGAGAAGAGCTGCCGCCGCTGGTTGAGCCACATTCGGAGGCAACACGGCTGAAGACGCCTGAGACGGTGCTTCGCACGCTGGAGCTGGAGGACTTGAAGTACTCTGTGATCTTGGCTGCGGAGCCAGAAGCGGCGGCTTGCTGGGCGAGCTGGGCGACAGAAGCACAGTTGCGGACGGCGGTCTGAATAGCACTGAGCTTGCTACCGCTGCAGTCGCTTTGTATGCGAGTGCGCTTCTGGTGGAATGCAACGCGGCGGGCCGAGGCGGCCTCGCCATCAATATCAACCTCGATTTTGTTGGTCTCAAAGGGCACGGAGCCGACGAGTTGAGTGGATCCGTATTGGGCAAAGGAGAAGGCACCGGCAGACTGGATGTCGTACTTTCCGCCGAGTGAGAGATCGTGGGCTTCGGCAATGTCAAACGTCACCTCGATGGACTCTCCGGCGGGGATGCTCTGGAAGGCATCTTCAGCTAGATTCTCAGTAGAGATGCGTTGGCGGATACCGTCAAAGGCAACAGTGTGCTCTGTAGACTACGTTAGCAATGATACATGTGTCAATGTGTAAGTGAAGTTAAGTGGTGAAAGGATACCTCCGGAGGTGATTGTGACCTTCTCTACAGCACTGTTATCCAAGATGGTACCGGACTTGAAGATCTTGAGGCTGCTTTTGCCCGTGTTGGTAATAACAGCTTTGATCTCAGCGTTGCCAGCACTTTCGAGCTTGATGTCCAAGGGGGTTGGTGCCTTGCCGGGGGCAGCTGAGGCCAAGGCGGCGAGGGCAATGAGACCAGCGACAAACTTCATTTTGAGGAGGACAAATCGACTGAATGGGATGATTATTGAGATGATTGTGATTTTATAATGCTCAATACTGGACGGCGTATAGCCTTATTTATACTTCAAATACAATATGATAATGACTTCTACGGGGTATCATGATGGTTGGGACTGCGAACAAAAGTTCTTCTCAACTACAACCATACTCCATCAATAGAACTCTAGTCAATTCCCGTGTTGAGAATAAGACCATAGTATTGGCGTTTCGACTCACTTACACAATCTCTGATTACCGTCTTCTCCAGCATTCATGCAGTGTTGTATCAAGGATATCGGCCGGGAATAGGATAATTCTACACACCAATTTGATTCAACTGCCGTATTGGGACGAGTATCCGTTGATAAAGCCAAAAGGCCGGTGGAGGCATGCTTGGTCTATCTTTTACTCACAGTTATTTCTCTCTTCCATATCGGCAAGATATGGGATATTATACCCTTTTTATCTGACAGCTTACATAGTCATTGCAAGGCGAGCGGTATTAAGAGATATTTTGAACTCTAATGTGAATCGAAAAACAACATCATGTATAAAATGTCAAATTACACATGCATGGGAAGAGTCCTCTGCTTCATTCTCTCAAGTCCAATGCTTCATCCGCTGTCCTGCCAAGGTCCAGGTAACGGGAACCAGCGGCAAATGAGGAACGCTTTGTAAGTGTTCAGTTAATTTGGCTCTATCTAATGGTTTGTGCATTTATTAGCCCGGTTCCGAGATGCGGACTCACTTATCCCGTAGACTTCGGCAACAGACCCAGCTTTCCCCCTCAATGCCAAGCGATAAGCGTAAAAAAGAAGCTGTGCCGGCCTAGACAGCTTCCAAAAATGTTCGAAATCTCCGGGATCTTTGCAATTCAAGGAAACGGAGGTATGAGTGGACCATTATGTTTTCATAGAGGCATTCGCAGGCATTAGTGGTGTCTTGGCTCTCAGCATCTAGAAACAAAGCTTTGATGAGGATACTGGCTTCCTCATATTTGAGCAAACATGTCTTGGGGTCCGGTCTACATAGCGATGAAAGCTATATGTCATTAATATCTTGAGATACGGCATTTTTAAGTAGGAACATAGCATATGCTTCGTTTTAGAAATTAGCATGTCTCTACGCGAAATATATCTTGGGGTATGGCTTCTTATGAAACCAGCGACTTTTCCGAATAAAATCCGAGGGTGTACTGATTTCGGATAATCCTTTAGGCAAATTGTTTCTTGGCATATATAAAAACGCATCAAAATTTGTATAGTCTATCAAATAACCGAATACTATCGCTTCGGTAAAGTCCCGATGGGCGCAGCAGATCTTGCCAACTCGGTTCGATCGGGCTGCGCGTACTCAAATTTAGCTCGCCGGATATTAAGCTTGCTTCCACTCTAATTGGTTATTCTTGCGACCTTCCTATCTTGTCTGCTTCACAATTACCGAAGCCGTGGGCTTTTACGGTAGATAACCGTGGAATGTAGTGTGCGTCTTGGACGGAAGACGTTCCAAACGAGGAAGCTCATTCTCCGGAAAGCCAAGCCTATCGATATCCACTTGCTCGTCGGTACTGAATATTAGTGGAAAGACTATTACTATACAATACGTTCTTCATAGGTAGTCTGAGGGTTACATTCTTAGCGATAGCCACTTATTGTGATGTGCTAAGCATACCACTGTTCTCTACGCCCTTCAGCTTCAACGGCGACATGTATCTTGGTACAATGGAGCTGAGATTAATAAACAAAAATCATCACTTTTCACTGTCACAGCATTGTGAATGTTCAATGATTACCTGGCCTCTCACTATATAAATCTTCCTGGTCCCCTTGTATCATTGAGGTGAATTAACAGAGTTCTTGATCCAAGGAGTGTGAATAAGCTTGGAGACAAGCATAACGTAAGGTTATTAGTAAACATGCCTAGGTGTTTTACTAGTTCTACTGAAAACACAATCCCGTTATTGATATGCAAAAGTGCCTCGCATGGTGCCACCGGTTGCCTAAAGGAGAAGCTGGGGGAGCAGCCCGCGGCTATCAAGAATGGAGAACTGCCTATGCGGAGGCGACAGTCCGAAAATTCGACTCCATCTTCAACATTTATATGCTCGTATTCTTTTACGACGGTTGACCCCTCTTGCGCGGATTCGATCCCTTTGCAGGCTTGGCACAATTGATATGGGATGCCCCTTTTTCTCCAGATAGAGAGGTATGGTTATCAAAGGCGGCTTGATGGGGATAATCGGACGTGGCCGCCAGTGCGCATATTGCCAATGGTATTCTTAAGATGACTGTAGGAGGAATTAGTGAAGAAACCTGTTGCCGGCGTCGACGTCATCAGTTTCATCCCACTCGCCTCCAACGAGGAGCGGGACACTAATGAATCAGTACTTCTGCAGGACCATGAAAGAACAACTACTCAGTTTCTTTCTGAGCAGGCAAGGGAAATATCTACGTCTCCGTACTTTCAATATCCTTTTATATCAAGTCTTCTAATGAATCTTGCTCGCATCCCAAGTGTGCGCGCTGTTCTTGGCATCAGTCTTACTCTCGTGCTGGCTACATTCTTTTTCTCGCCCTCGTACTCAATGGAGAGCCGCGACAACAGCTCCGGCCCTATTGCTGGCCTACGCGTGGCAATTAAGCAGACCAGCACATCTCCTCTCACCATCGCCAGCACCGTCATCAACGATAATGAGCATACGGTCACTTACCTCGTATACAATTCGCCGTTGGACACTGCTGCCCCATCCATTGGCCTGCTCACCATCACGCCTAGCGGTGCCTCGGAGCCTCTCGCCTTGCCAAAGCTCCAGATTCAAAGACAATGGCCGCCTGGTCCTGAGTCACTCGTCCAGCTACAGCCAGGTGCAAGCCAAACGGCCGAAATTGTTCTCAAAGATTTTATAGCTTCACAACTCACGGGAAAGGCATCTATTGTTCTCAAGGGCCGCTGGGATATGGTGTGGAACAAGCAGAAAGATGATATTACAGCTGAAATGATGGAGCAGGCCCAGCTGCAAACCGAGCCAGACGTCTTTCGTGGTAGCTTCGCTAGCGAGAGGTTGGAAATATCCACCGCATAATAATAGAAAAGAAAATGCCCGTTGTATTCGTGGGCTTTGCTTCGATGCATGTCTGCCTTGTGCTGGTGAATTGCAGTGAGTGAATGAAAGGCTGCTTGGGCCTGCTATTGGCATAAATGCTAGGCGACGACGGAGCGCTAAAACTGCTCTACCGACAGCGCGGGTTACTAGCGTTCATGCAAGCTCTCCGTTTGTTTGTTTTTTCATTCTTTGCTCACTTTTCCTCAATGATCGGAGCGATACAGGATGTTTCATCCCGCCTAATGAACAGAATCTCAATCAAAGGATAATATGGGCAATGTCTGCGTTCTTTGCTCGCCATGGACACCGCCATATCTTTCATATAAATGAAGCAATCCTTCTTGCCTCTCATACGCCCTCACGCATAACCTTCCGTACGGAATCATCTCCATCTCAACCGGCCGCTGCCACTACTCGAGAATGGTTCGCGAACAGACAGTCTCCCCGGAGGCCCCAATGCCAAAAGGCTATGGGTTTCTCAGAAAAGGCAATCCCTTCATGACAGGTCTCTGTCGCCGGAAAACTCTAGACGCCAAAAAGACGTTGTATGTGGTGGTGAATCAAGGCAAACAAGAAGGGTTACGAGCACCAAAGTGGATCTTACACCAAGTCTTCTCGGAAGAGAAGGCAACTCGAGAGAGAAGGCGCGGGGCTGTTGAGAGACGAGATGCAGCAACCGAGGATGCGTTTGCAGCGACTATCAAGAGGCTCTTTGCAAAGATCCCGGGAGAGGATCTGAAGAAAATCTTGAGACATGCCCTCAGAAAGCGAAGCGGCAGGGTCGGTCGCACGGGAAAACTAGACTTGGACAGGAAGGCATATCTAGCAGTTCAAGCGCACATTCGCCATCGCCATACGGACTATGATAAAATCACCAACGAGTCAAAAGACCGAGACGCCGCGAGAGACGCTACCCGCGGAAAAGTCTCGAGGGTCTTGGTTGAATGGGCTAGCGATCCGGCAGTGATGAAACTAGGCAGCGCTGTTTGTAAGGACAAGAAGGGAGAGTCTCGGAGGGTGGCTCGAGTGGCTCAGAAACGGCGGGCATCTTTGACGGCTACCAAGCCCACAGCAGCATCCAGGCGAGTCACAAAGCAGCGACCTCCCTCAAAGACCTCGAAAGAAACGACGACTCAACCACAGCCGGTGATGATTGACTTGACACAAGATGAAGATGAGGCAGAGGCAAGTGACGCGACGGATCAAGTCTCTTCTGTGGACGAGGACCAGGACTCAGAAGAAGATGGTGACGCTTCGTATGAGTTGTCCGGTTCGGAGGGCTCTGACAAAGAATACGAAAGCGACAACGACTGGTTGGACTAATGTTTCTGCCAGATCGGTGAAATAATATTATTGGAATAAGTTAATTTGTAATACCTAGGTGCATGTAGCTCTGAGTTGGCTACCTTATAGATCTTATATTCGTTGTAGCAGTACATCTCCTCTCTTAAAGTCTACCCAGCACCTGTAAAGCACCTTGTCCCCTTTTACTTGATCGCCCTCGCGTCGAGGTGACTTGCGTCAAGATGACTTGCGTCGAGATGACCTGCGTCGAGGTGACTTGCATTTCGGGAGCATTGCCCATCTCCATCATCCTTGCCCTCAACAACCGCAGTGGAGCACTGTAAATGAAGCCAGTACCTGCAGTACCTGCCACGATACCTGTAGCTCCCGCCGCTTCGCACCTCTCGGGCAGCCACCAGCCCGTTTAGCGCTGTTCGTCTCCCGCGGGCTAGCCCAAGTAGTGCCTGTTTCTGGCGCTGTGATAAATTAACCCCACGTGATAGGTAGCTCCTGGTCACTCCCCTGACCAGGATGAGAGCCGCAATTCTATTTGACGACGCGGGTCATCTCTGACAACCGGTGCTGGTGGCTCTGGGGATCTTTTTCCCTTCTTCAGTCGCGCTTTGTGGATTTTTTTGCATTGGTCGCTCCTTTTCGAGAATTCTCGCTTTGCTCAACGATTCCGTCATTTGTTGACGATTACACTCGCTACATTCCAGCTCGACACGCACCGCTCCTAAGCGAATCTCACATATCAAACACAGCTTCAAGCGGCCCTGCCCCTCGTGGGACGCAACTCGCCCGTGCCCGATCGAGTCCATCGACACCCGAAACTCACCCCAGTTCAGCAGGCCGCATCTCAGATCTAGCTTTCGAACCGGATTCCAACCAGCGACTGATGTATAATGGATAACTCCCAGAGACGAGCCAGCGGCATCCCCCGCCTCTCTCGGCTTCCTCGCCCAGTCTCCGTAGTCCAGCCAACACCATCTCCAACTCCGGCTCCGGCTCCGGCTGCAAGCTCCACGTCATCGCTTCGTCCAAGGCCATCCCGTGATAGTCTTGCGGGAGACGCAACTAGTGCCAGGGATATCCAGAACCCAAAGCTCCGGGCCTCTACTTCCCGTGGCCAATTGCGCCCCGGCGCCAACATCAGCGAACGAAAGCCATCTTTACGAAACTCAACGTCCAATTCTTCGCTTCGTTCCAACTCCACTCGCACGCCTGCCTCAAAACCTGCTGCCTCGAAACCTACTGGCCCGGTGTCGAAGCCCTTACGAAATATATCCGAGTCCCGAAGATGGAGCACTACTACAAACGCCCCAGCGTCGCAGTATAAGTCTTGGGCAGAGCCATCAGACTCCAGCAAGCTTGATTTTGAGCGGGATGAAGATTCTACAGAAGCATCCAACGACCTGCTCACTTCCTATTTGAATGACTCTGCAGGCTTATCACACCAGGTCGACGATGGAGAGCCCCCGGCTCTCTCACCTCGGGCTCTTTCACCTCGGGCTCTCTCACCTCGGGCCCTCTCGCCCCGGGCCTTTTCACCTTCAGCTCTCTCACCTCGAGCTCTCTCGCCTTTGTCCCCGGCTACCTCTCCGAGGGGAGACATGCCCCAGATCAATGCGCCGAAACCCTCGCTTTCTGATCGCACTATTGAAACTCTTTCGCATCTGCCTTCTTCTCCCGCTTTAAGAAAAGGGTCAACAAATTCATTCTTTGACTCAGGCAGGCCCATGTCGCGAGCCGAGAGCTCTGCTTCAAGGCCAAGCTCCAGCTATACTTCTGGTGGATCTGCAGGGCATCCGTCACGCCCAGGTTCGAGTGGCGGAGGAGACGATTCAGGGTTCTCAAATCCCAGAAAGTCATCAGCCAATCTTTTCAAACGACCTCTTTCGGTTATTCAAGGTACTCCTGATAGAGCTCCAGGCGTCGCATCCAGCGGCGCACAGAGACCGCGTCCAGCCAGTCGTCTTTCTGGAGTAGCCTCGAAACCATCTTCTTCTATGCCGGAGTTCAGAAGCCCAAGCCCAGATAAACTAGGTAAAACGCCGACGAAGAAAGTTCAGAAGCCAGCGTCCAGGCCACTAAAGCCGAAAGCATCTGCCCGCGGGCTTGCCAAAAAAGCAGCACTTGATGCCGGAGAGAAATCAGGAAGCGGTGCCTCTGCCTGGGACGGTACCATCGCCCCACCTGCTGCAGCAGTGAATGAAGATGCTGATGAGCCGAATCAGACGGCCCAAAAGTCGTCAACAGCACTTCGAGATCAAATTGCCAAAGCAAAGGCAGCTCGGAGAGCGGCTATGAAGCAAACTCAGGATCAGGATCAGGCGCCTGGTGCAGCATCGACTCCTAACGAAATGGCAGCGATTCCCTCAAATAGTAGTTTCAATTACGATGCAGCATTCGAAGATCCTTTCAATTTGAACAAGGGCCAAGATGCTGGCGAAATGGTCTTGAAACAGCGTATTGGAGCAGCAAGAACAAGCGGTAAGCTGAACATTGCAGCTTTAGGGCTGAAAGAGATGCCAAGCGATGTTATGAAAATGTACGACATGGAGTCTATTGGCGCTGGTGGGAGCTGGGCAGAGAGCGTGGAGTTGACCAGGCTTATCGCCGCAGATAATGAGCTAGAGACGTTGGACGACGTCATGTTTCCAGACCTTGGCCTTGAAGAGCTTGAGAACGATGAGGAGGGCCGTGGTAACATGTTTGGAGGGCTCGAGACAGTCGATTTGCATGGCAATAAGCTGCTAACGATTCCTATGGGATTCCGCCGCTTCTTACAGTTAACCACTCTCAATCTGGTGAGTATCTCCGCGGCCCTGTTGCTCTTCGGAATCATTTGTTCACACTTTTTAGTCGTCAAATCGCCTAGAAAATGGCTGCCTTGAGATTGTCGCGCAGATGACGGCGGTTCGAGATCTCAAATTAGCAAATAATCACCTCACTGGACAATTGGGCTCATGCCTCACTAGCTTGAGTGCGCTGGAGATTCTCGATGCTCATGGAAACAAGCTCTCTGCCCTGCCGTCCAACATTGAAGACCTTTCTCGGCTGCGTGTTCTCAACTTGAGCGAAAACAGCTTTGAATCGCTTGCATTCGAGGGACTTTCGAAACTGCCGCTGACTGAGCTTGATTTGAAGAAAAATCAGCTTTCTGGAACTCTTATTGACGAATCTATCGACTCTCTACCGACACTTCAAACTCTTGATGTCTCGGTAAATAGGCTAACACGACTTGTGCCTGCCGATACCTCGATCAACCTTCCCGTTGTCCATACTCTTACTCTCTCGATGAACCGGCTGCAGGAGCTCCCAGATATGGCCACATGGACAAGTCTCTTGACCCTTGCAGCAGACACAAACAACATCTCCAGCATTCCCCTAAGCTTTACTAGCCTCGAAAAAGTACGACAAGCAGACTTCTCTAGCAATGATATCCGCGTAGTTCCACCTGAGATTTCTCGCATGGACAGCCTCACTTTGCTTCGGCTCAGTGGTAACCCGCTACGTGACAAGAAATTCGCTTCAGCCTCGACAGAGGATATCAAGGAGGCGTTATCGACGAGACTGGAACCTCCTCCCCCGTACCAGGAACCGGCCGGTCAGGAGCCCATCACTACCATGATAAGCCAACTTGACATTGAGAAGAAGCAGGATAATATGACAACAATCAATGCCGACGATGCAGATAGCAGATCAGAAGGTGACGATGATTTTGCCACACCTCCAACGTCTGCGCCGCATTCACCTGCTAGATCTCGAGCTCAGACGTTAGTGAGAGAGACTTGGCCGGTCAAGACAGGCGGGCTTCTCGATCGTTCACGCACCGAGACGTCTTCATTGAGCCCGGAAATGTGCGCCGAACTTTCCAGGAGTTACCAGATAAGGCAGGCACATCTTCATCATAATCTGCTGAGTGCGTTCCCCGGATCCCTTCAGTTCTTCTCACAGACTCTTACGTCTCTGTCCTTGAGCCACAACAAAATCTCGGGCGACGCCTACCTGACAGAAGATGTGAGCTTGCCGGCTTTGACAGAATTGAATTTGAGCTCAAATACCATCACCAGCCTAGGTCCGTTGACAACATTTCTTAAAGCACCTGCACTGGAAAAGATTGACGTATCGCTCAATCGACTGAGCACCCTTCCTCTCGATCTGAAACAGAGCTTTCCCAACTTAAAAGTTCTTGTCGCGTCAAATAACCAACTAACAGAGCTTGATCCAGCTGCCGTCAAGGGCCTCAAAGTTGTTGATGTGTCGAGCAATGACATTGGACATCTGGATCCCCGGCTCGGCCTCTTGGGTGGAAAAGATGGGCTCGAGCGGCTTGAAGTGACAGGAAATCGATTCAAGGTGCCCAAATGGAATATCCTGGAAAGGGGGACTGCAGTCACAATGAAATGGCTCCGAGGGCGAATCCCAGCTGAAGAGATGGAAGAGTGGAGAGCTGTAAACGGGGAAGATGACTCTGACGTGGACTAAACTCGCAGTCGGCGATAATGTTTGTCCCTTTAACTGTAGCTTATTGGTTTCATTTTACGGTAAGGTCACGTACTATATATATTCTGCTACTTAATTCTTTTGGTCGTCCCTATCCAAGGGTAGAGCTGTGTATTATTGTTTTCGGTGGATCGGGTGTGCAGGCAGAGCGACACTCGGAGTATCGGTTGAAACTGGCAGCATAGATGCCGCATGGGCTTATGTTAGCTTGGAAATATGTATAATAATCTGTAATGTATATCACTATCTAAACATACCTATTTACTGAGTTTGCGATTCGTGGTTATCTTGGAAAGTGCTCGACGAATGCGACTACTATTCTGATGGCCGGTAATAAAGGCAGAGCTCAACCTAGAGATGTGTATTTGTTGTTCAAGTGTTGTGACGAGGAAGGCATTATCCAAGGGGGGATTCTAGGCTTTTATGAATCGATAGTCAGCTGGTAGCAGCTTTTGATTTGCTTCAACTCAACAATACATCAATGAATGCCAATATCAACATCCGAATATCATCTCTGAGATTACGACTGCATCGCTCCAATGGCCTCTACTACTATAAAATTTACGGTCCCCAGCTCTATATCAAGAACTGCGCTACGATATAGCGCTGCCAGCCAAATAACTACAAATCATTACAAGGTCGAGCGGAATGTGCTACTATCAAACATCACCCCGTACGATCCGCGCGCAATCGTCCGAGTGCTCATACCAATCTCCATAGCCGGGTGGCTGCTCTTTGGGGTCATTTGCATTCTGTGCATCAACGGGCGGGGAAAGCTGGGGAGATGGATTCCGGAGTGGTATCTGGACTCGGAGGGAACGCGGGGGGATAAGGCAATGGTGGTGCTGTGGTGGGTGGTGGTTGTGGTGTTTTGGCCATTGATACTGCCGGTTTTGTTTGTGAGGGGGGTGGTGTGTCTTGTGAAGCGATGGACCGGGGGGAGGGAGGCGCAGCTGTTGTGGCCGAGGAAGAGCTTGGAAGAAGTATGAAGGGAAGATGAGGATAGGAGCCGATCATCTTATCGTGTCATTTTGGCGGATGGATATTTGCTTTCATTCATGGGTGGTATTCAGGGTAGGGATTACTTTGCGAAGAACGGCGATGACTTGTGGTGGCTGTGGAATTACCACATGTATTCTCTTCTACCTGTATATATAGAAGACATGCAAGACAATTATAGCTGGGCATTGAATAAAGCATGAAGAAACAATAAAAACGAGACAATGAGAGTGACGACGGCAACTAGGGTTGTTTGCCCACTGCAAAGTGCTGGAGTCGTCTATAGATTAAGGGAGACGTGATCCAGCACCCCAGCTGTAGCTCAACGAGGCAGCCAGTCCACATGTCAAAATACACGACTGCCAAACATGCATGAGAATAGCAACAGTAGCAGCAGTAATAGTCTGGTAGTCTCGTAGTAGCTGGTAGCCTACATGGAATATGGAAGCTATAGCTAGAGTGCTGTATAACAGAATTGGGGTGCTGGATAAGATCCCCAAACTGCCGAAAGGGTAAATCTCGGCTCGCAGCCTTGCGTCAGCTCGCCGTTGCTAGGCAGGCCGAAGTGGGCTTAGCGCCCGTGGTAACCCAGCCAGCCTCTCCAATTTGTTTTTTTCCCCGTGCCTGGTGCAGGTACATTGGCCATGTAGGTACGAGGTACAAGCTGCGAATCGGCCGCCTCTGACTGGCGCCAGCCAAATGGTGCTCCTCGCATGTACCACCACCTCGTTTTCACTCAACCTCAACCCATGACCCCTTGGCAGCCTCGACCTCTCGCCTCTCGCAACGACACTGCCAGCACGGACATTGAGGGAGACTCGACGCGGCTCGACGCGATACCCGACGCAGAGCTTGACCGACCCGTTTGCCGCAGCTGCAACGCCGAGCTCGTCGTGAATTGCGTCGTCATTCGTTCACGGCGTAACGCAAGCCACGATCCTTGTTGGCAGCGCTTCGAACTGCCCTTGCGCCAAGGGAGAGACGGCGACAGAAGGCCGAGGCGCACCGGGATCCACATATCACACTTTTGCCCTTGGAATCTTCTTTCGCGAGCTGGGCTTGTTGTGAGGGAAACACTGGAAGCTTAACGCACTGGATTTCGTCTGCCCGCCGCTTCTCTTGGCTCAATCTGCCGCTCGAATCGACTAGTCTAGCTACGCAGGCCTCTACAGTTGCGATGGCCTCTGATTCGGAGATGGACGTGGACGCTCCTCGCGTCAATGGCACGGCAGCTGGCACCATTGAGGACCTCGCTTTCGCCGCTGTCCACCCATCGACCCCTCAAGAGACAGGACCTCTCAGCCAAACAACGCTACCGTCCACCGAGATCCCAGGATCGCCAATTGACCCAAACCAGTCATTTAAAACAGAGGTCATCGACGATAGGCCGGCCATTGCGGTTATTCCGTCGTCCATGACCCCGCCGCCCTCCACGCAGGTCGCGGCAAGCAATGGCGCCTCGAGACGTGCCTATTCCAACTCTCAGCAGTCGGCCCTCTTTTCGCCGCCCGCTACCATTCTAAACACCATGCGTGGACGAGATATCGAACCCGAATTCGCGCCGCCAGCACCTCACCAGCTGCTCGAGGCTTCGGCGGACGAGCTTCGCGCCATGCTGCAGACTTGCATCGCCGAGAACCAGAAACTAAAGATGGAGGCTGCACATCACAAACTACAATATAACCTGCTGAGCTTACAAGCGGACGAGGACTCAAAACGTGCCGCGGTGGAACACGACATGATACGCCGCGAAGTGGACGCCTTACGCATGGCGGAGCATTCTCGGCAGGCGAAGCGCGAGCTCAGCTCCGGATCAGAGTCTCTGCAGAACAAGTACCTGCAGATGAAGATGTGGTACGAATCAGCAGTGGAAGAGAATGAAGCCCTCAGCCGGAGAGTCAAGCTGGCCAAGAAGGTCATCCAACAGAAGGAGGAGGAGACTATGTCTCTGGCAGAGGAGCGAGAGATGCTACTGAACCGAATTCGGGAGAATCGCGAGCACTTTCATATGCTATGCAGCCCCGGAGGCATCTTCCATGGCGCTCTGACGCCCAAACATGGGATTACATCGACACCGCAGCAGCATCGCGGGGCGGCTCGCACTCTGCACCGGGAAGAGACTGATGGGCGGGAACACGGATTGTCTGCCCTTTTGGAGGCAATGAGCCAGAGCCAGACGCAAGAAAACAACAACGCTGCCAACAACAACAGTGCGCCATCAACACCCATGGTCATGGCTCGACCTGCTTCTCGGCTGGTTAGGAGGCACCAACGTAACGCCCAGTCCATGTCGTCACTTCCCACTACTCCCATGCATAATCTGCGTGGAGACCACAGCGGTCTATTGCCGTCAGTAAATCTGGTGGCGCAAACGGAGCCGAGATCTCGCTATTCACAACGACGATTTGTTCCTACAACTCCACCCTCTCAGCGACAATCACGAAGAAGAAGACGAGAAAGCACAATCTCAATGGAGGACAATGAAGAGCTTGCTCGGCAAGCCCTGGAATCGGTCAAAGCAGTACAGACACTATCATCTCAGCCGTCTGGAGTTGTTCCAGCCGGGGGCCCAATCAGCTCACAAGAAGACGAGGAGCAAGTCTATGACAGCCAGGCGAGTCGAGCAGCGGCAAAGATGCTGCGACAATACCCCGGGGCGCCGTCATTGGATGCCTCAGAAGGACCTGCTGAGAAGTCTGCAGCCATGCATGCCAAGCTCTTTACTGGAAGCAAATCTGCAGCTGGGGCTGAGAAGCGCAAGCTGGCTGCTGAAGGCGAGACTCAAGCGGACAGCCCACAAAAGAAATTGAAAGCTGGTGGAGCGGCATCAGATGGCCGTCGTGTTGGGCTGGGTATTCAATACTAGTAGGAATGGGGAGAAGGGCAGACGAATTCTGGTCATGTTGGATCAGATTGAAGCGAATTATTTAAGAGATATCCCCTAGTCGGCACATGATTGGAAATCTTTGCTTATTGTGTTTTATAGCCGAATTGTTCTTCTCTTTGACGAATGATGACTATATTTGTTTGAACTGAGTTTGGTTGAAAGTGGCAGTAGCACGAGATGGGACGCGGCTGTTGCTGTCGGAAAGAAATCGGATAAGGGACGACTAAAAGGGCGGTAGGGCTGGGATCAAACAGCACAGCACAGCACGGGGACTATACTGTACGAGCATTTTCGATATATACTCTTCGATATATACTCTGTTTAAGAGTGATGAGTAAACAGAGTTGGCATTAATTGTCCAACGAGCAGGAGAATAAAGACTGGAATACTTTTTGGATAAGATCTTAACCGGCAGTGCACGCAGAAGTGCGGCAACGATAGCCGGCGGCCCGGGTCACTCTTCCGGAGGCTTCAGACTTGAGACCCGACCGAAAACCCCGGTTAACATGATAATTTCAGAGTAGAGCGAGCAGTTTGAGGTGCCTATTACTATCGGCATGTAGGTGCAGAGGAAAAAGACTCAATTGAATTAAAAGCAATATACAGTGAATGTGTAGTTGGACCTTGGAAGTTCTTTTGGCATGAATGAACTTGTATGTGCCCGTCCGGGATACTCCGGGTCCATTGCCGATAGCAACTGCCAGCGGCGGATACGGGCGGGGGACACCAGGGTGGCGCTGCGGGGAGGAAAAAGGGCATCGATGGTGAATTGGTAAGATGTTAGTGAGAGATGACTTGGTTCATTGTCGCCGTGATTTAATTTCTTCAGTGTTCTTTGACTCTTGCTTTGATTTTCTTTCTTGTTTTCAGTTTACCTCTTTTCTTTTTTATTTATTTTTATTCTACGTATACCAGTAGTAATTGCTACTATTGTATAAGCGTCTGGTGCTTCCTTGGCACATCTTATTCTCTTATATACCAGGGCCATTTACAAATACTTGATATAAAACACACGCGCACACTTACACAGCCCATCATGTCCAAAGGGCTCTCCGCCATCCTCACAAAGGCGCCCTCCGACGTCGTCATCCTCTCCTCTCTCCGCACGCCGGTGACTCGCTCCTACAAGGGCGGCCTCAAGGATGCCTACCCCGAGGAGCTGCTCTCCGTCGTGCTCAAGGCCACGCGCGAGGCCATGCCCGAGATGGACCCGGCCGTAGTCGAGGACGTGGGTGTGGGCGTCGTGCTGTCCGAGCTGGGCGGCTCCAAGGCGGCGCGCATGGCGCTCAACCACGCAGGGTACCCAAACTCGACGAGCCTCTTCACGGCGAACCGCGCGTGCGCGTCGTCGCTGCAGAGCATCTCGCTGGTGGCGGCGCAGATCCGCACGGGCATCATGGCCGCGGGCATCGGCGCCGGCATGGAGAGCATGACGAGGAACTACGGCAGCCGCGCCGTGCCGGTCGACGTGTGGCCCGAGCTGCGGGAGTCGCCGGAGAGGCACGTCCGGGACTGCGTCATGCCGATGGGCCTCACGTCGGAGAACGTGGCCGGGCGGTACGGCGTGGGGCGCGAGATTCAGGACCAGGTGGCGGCGGCGTCGCACGAGCGGGCGGCGCGCGCGAGAGATGGCGGCCGGTTTGACTCGCAGATTGTGCCGGTGACGACGCGCTTCCAGGAGGTGGACAAGCAGGGCCAGCCGGTGGGCGAGCAGAAGACGATTACGGTGACGCGCGACGACGGCATCCGCGACGGCGTGACGGCCGAGTCGTTGGCCCGGCTGAAACCCGCGTTCACGCCGGATGGGAAGTCGACGGCGGGCAACTCGAGCCAGATCTCGGACGGCGCGGCGGCCACGCTGCTGATGAAGCGCAGCACCGCCACGGAGCTGGGCCTCGGGGCGCACATCATGGGCAAGTTTGTCGGGGCGACGACCGTTGGCTGCGACCCGGACGAGATGGGCGTGGGCCCCGCGATTGCCGTCCCGAAGCTGCTCAACGGCCTGGGCCTGAAGACGGAGGACGTGGACCGGTGGGAGCTCAACGAGGCGTTTGCGAGCCAGTTTGTCTACTGCCTGCGCAAGCTGGGGCTGATGGAGGCGTGGGAACGAGGGCGGGTGAATCCGGACGGCGGGGCGATTGCGCTGGGCCATCCGCTGGGGGCGACGGGGGCTAGGATGACGAGCACGCTGATGCATGGGCTGCGGAGGGATGGGGGCGAGGTTGGGGTTGTGAGCATGTGTATTGGGACGGGCATGGGCATGGCTGGGTTGTTTGTGCGGGAGTGAGGTGTTGAACTTGATGTAAGAGAAAGGGGGGGGGGGGGGGGGGATGAAATGATTTGTTTGATGAGTTATAGATGGCATTATAGAATGTATTTGTTACTATTTCGTAAACTATGTTGATAGCATCTGTTGCTGTAGACTTTCTTCTCACTTGACTCCTTTTTTGTCTCGTTGACTCATAAGTACCAGCTCCCCTGAACCCTCATATTTCGGATATATCCTTCTCGGTTGGTGCCATTGCACTTGCAGCCATACGCCGAAATCCACAGACAAGTCCCGTCGTCGGATCTCGCTCTATGCCTTGCCCCTTGACCACGCCCTTTCTGCCCGCATCTGCGAGCTTCAGCAGCCCAACCCTCACTCTCATGTAATCGCCAAAGAACTCATGAGCCCGAGTGTCCATTCCTCGGGTGATGCCATGACCCAGCGTAACGCCCCAGGCAACACCACCAACGCGAATCGCGTGCGCATCCGGTCTCCCGTCAGGTTGTAACAGAATCGAGTAGATGAAGCCCGTATACAGCACCGGCGCATCAAACATGTTGGCCGGGAAATCCCAGCTCTTGCCGTCCATGGAAAGGGGATGCCAGGGCGTGACGAGCAGCGAGCCAACCCGGTAGAGCGTCTCGCTTGATACTTTCGTCTTGAGAACCAGGTGCACCTTTCGAGGACCAAGAGGCGTGCGGACTCGAGAGCCGCGTTTTAGCTTCCGCATCTCTGTGATTCGGCCGGATGCGAGTTCCACGAGGGTCGAGCCGGCGAAGCACACTCCGGAGGCGTTGCGGTATCGAGCCATGGACGAGGGCGCGGCGGTCAAGGATCGAGCTTGGCGACCTCCGTTGTGGCGTAGAACGGCTCTGGACGGCGGTGGCGCGGGGATGCTGTCAAAGGCATTGTCTAGACGATCGCGGCAGGCTGTGAATAGGGGGCTCTGAGAGCCGAACTGAAGGGGCGCCGAGTCCTTGAACGAGTTGCAGATTTGTCGAGTTAGAGCGTTGACGTAGGATGGGAGGAAATGGCGGCCCCATTTGACGAAGAACTCTGGCGTGGAGATGGCGAGGCTGATTTGCCCTCTGGGCAGGTCGCCGCTGAGATCCTCCATGAGCGACTTATTCAGTCCGTCGGTGAGATGTCGGCTGGGTAGAGTCGCGATAAGTTGTGCCAGCTCTAGTCGCTTCTCTGCTATTTTGGCCGATTCAGTGAATGCCCGGTATTCTCCATCCGATCCAAGGAGGAATAGCGAAGAGATGAAGTTGCAGACGAGGGCTCGGGATTCGTGATAGACTGCTTCATCGGCGGAGAGAGCTGCCGCCGTGCCAGTTGTACTGTCACCGAGGCGGGCTGAGCTCAAGGTGGTGATGGACTTGTCAGCTTCTTCAAAAGTAAGAGTGGCTTCAATGGCATAGTCTGAAATCTGCTTCTCATGTGTAATGCCCTCGAGACGAAGCCAGAGGTCGCGTGACTGTCCGTACTGGATATTTCCCAGGGGAATAGTCAACTGCATCTGCCCATTGCCGGCACTGACAGCTGCTTGCTTGTCAACAGAATCACCCAGCATCTGCTCAATCTCCAAGCTGGATGGATATCTTAGTTTCAGTGAAGCCTTGGTTGCAAAAGTCGCCTGCAAGTTGGCCAAGGCGTGGACAAAGACGGTTCCAATCATGCCTGCGTCTGGAATAAAAGCATAGTTGCCACCGCTGAACTCGGCAATGGACTTGAGCAGTCCAGACCGAAGGCTGTATCCGAATCCAAATGTGTGAATCGTAGCGGGCAGCGGATCCATGGATCGCATCTTTGGGATGTAGCCCTGGGCAGGGCACATGTGGTTCGGCTCGCCGTCTGTCAGGACCATGACGGCCGGCACCCGAGCGCTGTCCTCCTCGTTCTTGAACAGTTTTATTCCATCGAGCATGCCATGCCATAGATTGGTTGATCCCATTGGCTTCAAGGCTCTGATTCTTTTGCGTGCCTGTTCCTTGTTGCCATCCGTCATGGGCTCCAGGGCTTGAATGATTCTGGACTCGGACTCGAATGTCACTATGCCAAGGCGGTCTCTCTCATCCATGCTTTCGATGATTGTAAAGGCCGCGTGTTTGGTCAGATCCAAGACTGAAAGCCCCGTGTCCTCGCCTTCGCCGGGCACCGGAGCAGACGAGCACATGCTGCCGGAAATGTCGATGACGAGCACCACATCACAAGCTACATGGCTGATTGGCTTTGGCGGTACCTTGGGAGGTTGAATCTTGACAACAAGAGCGTCTCTGGAGACAATGTGATGAAGTTGTAGATCAATTGGGCCGGGCTGAGCATCATAGGGGGGAGGATCTATCGAGGCGTCTGTATCTGGACTGGGGTGTCCACGGATGGGCAGTTGTTGCTGCTGGGCGCGGACAATGGGCATAGGCGCCCGAGTCTGCTTGTTGAGATTGGTCATTGCTCTGAGTGAAGTCCTGATGCCCCTGAATATTGATGCTAGTGAAAATGGCATGGGAGAGATTTTTTGATTATTTCTTGATACATCGTGTTAACTGAGGTCCCCAGCTGCCGTACTTATGCAGAGAGAAAACGCCCGCTTGAAGCCATAAGCCAGCTCTCCCCCGAAGTGGATGTTCTCCAGAAGGCGGAGGGCACAGAGTGGAGGCATTGGCGGCTACCTGCGCTAGAATACGGTCTACTCACCTCAGTCACCTGTCCCGGCCTGGTAAAGTTTCATTGATCAGGTCTGCCAGCAGCCGGACAAGAAAGTGTCAGCGGCATTGAATGGTGGCGGCCAAACTATTGAACTCGCTCACGATGGATACAGGCACCAGAGATACTGCCCCTGTTTCAAGGCATTGCCGACGGGGGTTTATCGTGTAAGAACCAGGAGGGAGCCGTGTGCCAAGAGAGGAAGAAGAAGAATAGAAGGTAGGGGTAGCTTTTTAGGAAAGAGGCCATCGGGTTGATCTCCAGTCAGCGGCTGATCGGGGCAGCCTAAGAGTGGCGCTGTTTTGTCCGAGTGTTGGCTTGAATGTGCTTTGAGGCGAGTCTCGCCTTGTAGCATCCGCTAGCTATATCGTCGGATGCTGAACGAGGCATAGTTCAGGCGGCTATGAATGACAATTCCTTCTTATACAAATGCCATTCAGCCGACTACATGTGCTGGCTGAACAGCAGATGGACAAAGATTGGATGCCCAGGTAAGACGTCGGCAGCAAGATCGCAGGTCTGCCTGCAAAGATGCCTTGGGAGACACAGCCCCAGCCACTGAGAGCTAGGGAAACGCCTAATAAGCGGCAGCCGCATGCAACTAGACGCTGCCACGAGGCCCTGTAAATAGCGGGGGATCTCGTTTTACATCAGGGGGATCTTGTTATGCTGATGCCTAACCTAGGGTAACCTGGAAGATGGAAATCGACTGCCAACGCTCATTGCTTTTGTGCATTTGATGACATGTAATTGACCTCCTTATTTACACATTCTAGCAGTACGTTTGGTTGGCCGCTGCACATTGTGCTCTCTGTCAAACCTGGACAGGGCCGCTGTTCTTATTGCCCCACAAAGAACATTGGGGTTCAACTGATCTTAATTACATCCTTAATAGTGGACCAACAGACGAAACAAACAGATACTGTATGCGTGCTATGTATCATCATGACTACTGGCGGCTAATACAACGAGAAATCTCATTACCACAGCTCTACTCACTGAACCCTGGAAAGAACAAGCTTTCCCGTTTCACATCATTAAATTAGGTACTTTTGATTGCTATCAAATCCTTAACGTCTAATTGTCTAGCTGTGTTTTCAACCTCGTCCCCTCAAGGTATGGCTTGCTGACTCCTGAAAAATCGCTAAACTTCTTCTTATTAAAAATGTTACCAAAGGATTCTGCTAGGCGCATGCAAAAACTGTCATTTCAATCATCACTCCTTTTCCTCCCCCTTCTACCTCTTGTTATAGTTGACGAATTTGCTCTAGAAGAATCAAGTTAGCACTCAATGTAAACACTGTAAAAAGGGGGTAAGATGGCAGAGGAAAATACGCACTCCCAAGAAGAGGATAATGATGTTGCTGCCAACAAAGCAGAGGAAGATACCCAAATCTCTCCAGCGGTGGTCAAAGCTCAAACCCAGCGGGTTGTAAAACTCATCGCCAACGCCGTACTCGCAGTATTCGCAGTTTTGGGTAGAGTTGGAGACCAGGTAGCCGGGAGCTCCTCTCTCGAAAAAGGGCTGCATGTATTCACCGCAAGTCGTGCCGTTGGGTGCGGTGAATCGGTTCAGCTCGCTGCTCTTGCAAACGACCTTGAGACCGTGCAGGGCAGTGGTGACACAAGCACCGATGAGACGAGTGAATGGGTCGAGCTGGTAGAGCCAAACGCGCCAGCCTTCGGGCATCTGAGAGGGTGGGATGGTAACACCACAGAAGAGCGCAAAGAGGATTGTGATGAAAGGATCGAACTGGGTAGAGACACGAGGGGAAGGCGTCAGTGCGGATAGACCCTGGCCGAGCGTGACGGAGAAGAGCTCAGTGATGAGAACCATGAAGAACTGGAAGCCGGCGCGCGAAGGGGTCGTTTGGAAGCCAGGCATAAAGTACAGGGGCAAGTAGAAGCACACGGCACACAGCACCGAGTAAGGCATCTCGGCGAGGATGATGGCCGCAACGAATGAGGTGGTGGAGTACATCTTGGACGAGGATTCGCGGAAGAAAAGGGCACGCTTGATGGCGTACATGATTTCGACCTGGGACATGATGATGGCGGGCAGGACGGTGATCTGGAACATGACGAAAACCTTGTACTGCAGCGAAGCCTTGGAGTCGTCCAGGTTGAGATACGTGAGACCAGTGATCAGAGCGACGGCAATGTGAGCGAACAAGCGGGTGAAGAGGTAGTTTGGCGATCGCCAGAAAGAGCGGAACATGCGGCGAACAACAATCTTCATCTGGTGGTAAAGAGGAGAGGCGTATTCCTTCTCGAGCTTGTGGCCGGCCTGGTTGCTGGCGGAGATGCGCTCTCGCTTCAGTTCGATGATGGCATCCTTGGTATGAGCAAACTCGGGGCTATCCTCCCAGATATCGGCCCAGTCGCGGTCGCCAACACGGGGCATACTACCAGCACCAATGGCCTCCAGCATATACTCGGCAACGTTGTCGGTCGGGGCGGCTTCAGCGCCGTAGCGCTTCAGATAGGCACGCAGAATAGCAGCATCCTTTCCAATATCGCCAAAGTACACGGTGCGTCCTCCTCGCTGCAGCAAAAGTAGCCTGTCAAAGTTCTGGAATAGCGCGGCGTTGGGCTGGTGGATTGTGCAGAGAATTGCCTGGCCAGCGGCGGCCAGCTTCTTCAAGAAGCGAACAATGTTGAAAGCGCTCTGGCTGTCCAAGCCGGAAGTAGGCTCATCCAAGAACAAGAGGAGTTCGGGTTTGGCAGCAAGTTCGACTCCGATGGTAACACGCTTGCGTTGTTCGACGGTCAATCCAGCCTCGGGCGATCCAATGATGCAGTCGGCAATGTTTTCCATTTCCAGCAGGGAGATGATCTCTTCCACATAGGCATGTCTCTCAGGAATGGGGGTTTCGTAGGGCTGGCGCAGTTCCGCAGAGAATCGCAGAGCCTCACGGACTGTCTGGGTAGGCTCGTGGACGTCAAGCTGCTCAGCATAGGAAGTAGATCGCTGGAACTGTTTGCCGGGCTTGGCACCATCAACCAGGACATCTCCGTAAATGACACCGATATTCTTGCGAGCAGCCAAGACGTCGAGAAGAGTAGTTTTACCAGCACCAGAAGCACCCATAAGCGCGGTCAGCTCGCCAGGCTTAACGTAACCGAAGACGTTGTTAAGGAGTCGTCGAGTACCGCCGGGAACGGGGACATCGTAGTTGAGCTCCTCCCAAGTCAAAACGCTTTCAGAGTTCATGGTCAGATCAGAGCCTTCCTCATTAGACTTGTCCTTTCGCCTGGCATCACGCTTCTCGGTCAAGGTCGCATTCAACGCGTCCAGCTCCTTGGTAGGCTTTGCGTAAACCTTGAATGAGCTTCCTCCCATGTCGAACTTGATGATTTCACCAAGCAGCACGTTCAAGAAGAGAAAGAAGACAATCAAAGCCATGACAATACCCCAGTTGCGCCACAAATCACCGGGAAGGTACTGGAATCCACTGGAGATGTAGTCTCGGCCCCGAACAAAGGTCGTGCCGGAAGTAGAACCGGGAAGAGTACAGACTTGATGATTGATGTCGTCGTATCCAGGGCCTGAGGGAATAAGCGATTCGGCAGTGCAAGTAAGATCGATTCTTTTGAATTCATTCTCCATCAGAGAGCTGAATGCGAGACCCAAAACGTTGATCCAGTAAATCCATCGAAGCCAGACTTTTTCAGACTGGTACTGAATGAGATAGCCAGAAGTCGTGATGAAGAGCGTAATGATGACAACGGCAAACTTGATGGCGTAATCAAAGTCTGGACTGATGCAGCCAAGAATTCTGAAAAAGAGCGTCATCGCAATGTTACCGGAGAGGATCATCAGATAGAAGGTGAAGAATGCACCTGCATCTCGAACCAGACCCGTCATAAAGTATACAATGATGGAAAAGATCAAGATCTGAGAAGCGGCAAACGCTTGATCAACAAAGATCTGGGCAATCCAAAGAGCCGAAGGTCTGTGAAAGGCGTATGCCTTGTGCTTATTCACAATCGCGCGTCCCGTCATAACTCCAGCAAGTTCTGAAAAGGCCTGGAATGCGTTGAACAAGAGTGCCACGAACAAGAGACCACCTTTGCTGAAGGCACTGGCGGAAGTTTGACCAAGATTAAGATAGAGGGTACCGAGAACAATGGCGACCAAGATACTACGAGCCCAGCCAACAGTAAGATTGAAACGATCCTGAAGCTTGAGAATAAACTGTCGCTTCATGATGGACCAGACCTGAATGTGGAAACCAACTTGGTAGGGGCTTCGCTTCGATGTACCACGCTTGCCCTCCTTAAAGGCAACCAAGAAATCGTCGTGCTGTTGTTTTTCTTGCTCGAGGTTCGCCTTGTATTCGGCGATTTCGGTTTCAATCATCTTTTGGTAGGGAGACGCCTTGAACGAGGCCAAGAGAGAGTCGGGGCTGTGAGGAGCATTTTCGGGAGATCGACCGGGCTGATATTCGCGTTCGAACTCGTCGGTGCAGCCAGTCACGTAGTCGGGTGTCGTTTGTCGGGGCTGAGGCAGAAAGCCGAGGCCTTCAAAGTAGGCACGAGCATCCTTTGCGGGTCCAAAGTAGACTTGACGTCCCTCGTCAATGACCATGACCTTGTCGAACAAGTTGTAAATATTCTCGGAAGCTTGGTACAGGGAGACAAATGTACAGGTCTTGTAGAGGTCGGTTTGGATTCGCAGAC